TCATTTCTTTTTGACCCCCCAAGAACAAGACACGGTGAGAACCCTTGGAAGTTTGTTCTTGCGAACATACCTTTCGCTGGCCTCTCAGGCCTTGGGAAGGGGCCAATACCTATGGAGAGTCATTCCAAAGTTTCACCTACTCGCTCATGTGTTCCGGTGTGACCGTGTCTGCAATGTGGCCAAACATTCAACCTGGATGGATGAAGACTATCTCAAGAAGGTTGGAAAGACTCTCCGTCTAAGCCCCAAACCTACCATACAACATCGGTGTTTACAAAGGTGGATGCTAAGCATCCCAGGACACCTGGAACGATGCCGACAGAAGCACAACCGCTGACTGAAAAAAACTTGGAATCCAGACGGTCCAATGCGCATGGAGCGCATATGGCAGGAAGCGAACGACAAACAGTGACTGCAACCTATCTAACAGGTTTGTTCTCATGTTGAGCTATTCTATTTGTGAGTTGGTGTGCAAGTGTGCCTGCTTGGGCTGATGTCTTCCTAACAAAAACAACGTAAATTATGTTTTTGGGTCTGGTGGTTCCACTGAACTGTGGACATATTCTTGTGATGGTTTTTTGTTGTCTAGCGGTGGGGTTTCCGCCGGTTTCCGCACAGCTTTGAGCACACCATGTGTGCGCACACATCTCGAGACACGAAAACGCACTCGAAAACGACTTCGAAGTCTATATGTTTATATAAACTATAAAAAACATACACTGGCTCAAGATCAAATCATACTTGCCTTCAAGTATGATTTGCTATTTACATGTGCTTTTTGGTACAAAGCATGTGGCTTGCATAGTTCACATATAGTGGCACTGCTAAAAGCTGCGCACGCTTTGCGCTTAGAAGTTTCACTGCTTCAACTGCAGGTGTCAAGGCAACTATGTGCTGATGGTAGCTGAGCATATCATACATTTTCTCTTTTACCCATCAAGCATGTCACGCGTGAAAATCGTGAAAACCACCAAAAGGCCGTGAAAAAACCATTTGTACATCAAAAATTTGAAACAAGGTCCTGAGCGGTATGACCTTGTTTTAAGTGATCGAATGGTTCCCCAGGTTAGTCAAGTCATGTCCGAGTTCGAGGTCGAACGCTTCACCGGCTCGTAAACCATGTCGTTTCGAACGGCTCGAAAAACGATTCGGGTTGTAAACCTCTGCGACCAGCTTAGCTTGTTTCTTTCCTGTGGAAGGTCCCAGGAGTTTGGCCAAACGGTGCACGAATTTACAATTCGGAGTTTTTGAATAGGCTACTGTACAGAGCAGCTGGTCAAAGGGATTAGGTCCCTCTGGCTCCTGTAGGCAAGTCATAAGGTTCTGCCACATTTGGTGGGCTTCTGCTAGGGCACCCTGTCCCTGTCGCAGCAAGCGCTTCAACTTCCTACCGCTCAGCTGACTCTCCTCGACCTTGATCATCCCTGGTAGGGACCGTCCTCCCAAATTCCCCCCGACTGAAGAGCTCCCGACTGCTGCAGGCGCGGGCCATTGCCGGAGTGAGATTGTTCATGTCCTCCTGGTAGATCGGGTAGCGAGGCGGAGGGTATCCCTCTTGGTACTGAGCTCCCGGATGTTGGCGAGTCAGTCGAGTGATGTAGAGGGACTTTTGGTCCTTCTGTTCCTGGCGCTTCTGTGCCTTTTCCATTCCCAGAGGGGTTGGCTCGTCCACTAGGGTCCGGTTGCAGTCCAGACACTTCTCCATGATCTTGAAGGCATTGGTTCCCGCTCGGCTGATGTTCCGATGCGGGCAGCGTCGGGGTAGTGGTGGTACCTGCGGTGTGGTGGACGACGATGGGGCTCCCCTCCTCATAGGTTGTGGTGAAGGCTCCTCCAGGTGATCGAGATCCGGACGGAGTGGTTGCCGATTGCACCACTGGAAGGTGGAGCACTGTCCTTGTCGATCCATCGGGCACCTCCAGAAGAGACGGCGGTTGTTCTTCGCCGTGTGACTCAGGAATAGTCGGCATAGGCGTCCGTGACCGCATTTGGGCGGCGGTCCAACGATCTCCTTCATCTCCTCGAGCAGCTGAGTCACATCTCCCTGGGAGGACCCGGGACTGGCTTGAAGGAGCTCTGAATTCAAGCTCATTCTCTCCCATGAGGCTTCGCTGGTGGTCCTGGTCGGAGTTCGGGGCGCAGGTGCTCGTTCTTCTTCCGGATCGGGTAATCGATGGCGAGGAGGATGTAGGTCGCGGGCCTCCGTCGGCCGCTTCATCAGGTTCTCGAGCAACACGTTGAGCCCTTGCACGACATAGAGCAACTTCCGAAGTAGGCGGTTCCATCCCCAGAGAGAGGGAAAGTGGGCCTCCTCTCGTGGTCCTCGAGGTCGCTTCAGCTCCGGCATGGCTTCCATGAGAGGGGGATTGCTTCGGAGGTTCACGCTCGTTGTCAGGGGCTCCGGTTTTGGTCTGTGAAAAACTGTCTGCGGCGGGATCATGTGATTGTTCCGTCTTGAGTACCTCAAATTCTTGGTTGTTGCCGCAGTTGACCTCTTTACTGAGAGATTCCAATTGACCGGGGGTGAACTCACACAACGGAATCCGAAGGGCACCGGTAGGTCCTAGGTGACATTTAACCGTAAACCCTTGCTTCCTGAACCGCACCCGGAGTCCTGTCTCATTATCGAGGTAGATCACCGCCCTACACGAGATGAGGAAGGGCAGGCTGATCAAGAAGGGGGCGGCCACACTCTCGGGGTTGTCGAAGACGGCCGGCACGAAGTATGAGCCCTTCTGTCCAATGCTTGTCGGAACTGCCGCGACGACTTGGGTGCTCGAGATCCCATGGACGCTCTTGAAACGGTGGGTCTGATCCTTGGTCCTGACTGGGAGTCCAGGAGGGAGACGTTGAGCGAGTCGTTCAAGGGTCTGCCGGCCCACTACCATTCGTTGGCAACCGGTGTCGATGGTTGCGCAACATTCATCGGGATACGGGTTCGATCGGACGGGTTCGGAAACAAGTTTCGGACTTTCCCCATACATAACCCCAAAAATATCGTGATCACTACTGGAGCCACCTTCCCAAGGGTCACCCTGGAGTTCGGCCATATATGCACTCTCGACGTGAGGTGCCATCAGGCGTCGATCACTAGATCCCGGGCCGCCATGACCCGGGACATCTGCGGAGATTTCATCGCTCAGGCGTTCACCTCCAGGGAGAAAAGCACCCTCACCCGGGTGCTCCTCAAGGTGGCCGCAGAAGATGGCCTCTTCCAACACATGGGCCTCCTTCGGGGCTCCACGATCTCGGTCCTTGTCAGGGCATTCCTTGTGCCAGTGACCGGGTTTCCGACAGATGGCGCACTTGGTGACCTTCTTCAACTCCTCCACGGTCATGCGGTAGTTCCCTTCCTTGAAGGGAGCATTGTGCCCCACCATCGTGAAGCTCTTGGTCTTGCCCTTGAAGGTGTTGGAATACCCTCTCGACAGCTCCTTCGCCTTCTTGGCCTTGAGGGTCTGCATGTAGGTCTTCTTCTTCTGCTGCAAGATGGTGCTCAGCACCTCCGCGGCCTCGTGTTCTTCGAGAACACTTCCATCACCGTCTTCTCCATCGTGTCCTTCTTCGTCTTCACCTTGGAGGTCTTGAAGCGCCTCCTCCACGGCATAGATCTCGTCATCCTCCGGGTCATTGGGCTCGGCATTGATGTAGTGGGCAGCAGCGGAGGATGTCATCCGAGAACTCGTGGTCATAGTTCCTTTCTTTTCCTTTTCAATCCCGACCTGCGAGGCCTGGAGCTTCGTCTCGTGCTTGCGGATCCATTCCCGGATGTCTCCAGGTTTGATGGACCCTCGAGAGTAGTTGAGGAGCGACTTGATGTCGGCATCGGAGAGCACCAAGGCGTTGATGAGCAAGAAACCAACGTACCGTTCGGGAAGAACGACGGAGTGCTCAGTCACCTTCCTCATTGCCACGTCCCAGCGGCTGAAGAAGGCTCGAAAGTGCTCATCCTTGCCTCGGCGAAGATGGAAGGTGATCTTCGCCAAGGCGGCCAACAGGTCCTCCTCGCGGTCCTCACCGAAGTTCTCGGGGAGCTCCATGAGGGCGATCAACTCATCGCCATTGCCATCGCTGGTCATCCACGCCCGATCCCGGGCGAGATATTTCATGGTCTCGAAGGGGGTCTTCGTCAACTTCTGAAGGAGTAGCGGCCCTCGTGCACGGGGACGGGCCTTGGTGGTAGCAAGCCACAACCTGGCCTTGATGGCATAGTCCTGAAAGGCCAAGGATTCGCCATCCCACTCTGGCGGTGGCCCATTGCTTCCAAAGCTGCTACCACCGTCGCCCAAGTCACTCTCGGCACTCCTGGTCGAGCTGCCATGGCGCCGCCGGTGTTGGCGGTGTGGATACCGGGCTCGAAGAAATGCCCGGAACTCATCACTGTCAAAGGCCTCTTCGGCCAGTTCCTCTTCATCCAAGTCACCAGGGCGTGGTAGCCCTTCGTCAAACTCATGGCCTTCCGGCCTCGACGAACCATCGGCTGCTGTCGCAGCCGCAACCGGGGGCATGGCTCAAAGCGAACCACCAACCAGGGACAACCCCAAAACACCCCAAACAAAACCGACCAACCGAGCCAGGTCCAAGGGCCGAACCTGGCTCCGCTACCACTGTGGGCAGCAAGACCTTTTCACATGTGCATTGTCCCCTGCACATAGGGCCGCGTCGGGCCACCTCGAGAGTTAAACATTTCGGAATCGTGATTTCATCCAAAGCGACATGCTATTCACAGTATCATTGAGGTTGTGACCACAAAACCAGCCTAAGGCATGGAGATTTGCCGGCACAGCACCGGGCTTTCAGGGGCGTTTCAGAGGCACCGATGGCCAGAAGGCCGATGGCCAATCCCAGCAATGTGTACCTGGACCTTGCAGGACCCATTGATACCTATCTCGAAGTCACGAGCCAAAGACTGATGCTGACCCAAGGTTCCAACGTGCGATCTTCACTCGCACCACGTCTGGGCCCCGCTCATCCCCCGCTCGTCCCCCGCTCGTTTGCAGGCGATGTCTTCGGGCCGAAGCACTTCGAAGGCCTCCGGGCAGCCTTGACGCGCCACGGCGAGCTGCGGAAGGGCTATGTCTGTGCGCAGAAGGCGCCTTCGGTTCGGCGGAGGGGAGAACCTGGTCGAGCCGAAGGGATTCCGTCGGACCGTGAAGTCTGATGCACTCGCAAACATGGGACATGCACCACCTGGATGTTCGCTTAGAATCGCACCATGGACTGATCTAGGATGATCTAGGTATAATCATTGGATGGAGACTCGCCACTGCAGATCCCCTCCTGTTTTTAGTCCTTGCCTGTGTGTCCAAGATCCACCGGAATTTTGGCACATCGCCTGCCGACCCAGGGAACTCGCTGGACTCCGCGAGACCTCCAGGGCTTGGAACTCATCTCTGTGCCACGTCGTGCGGGCGGCAAGGTGCGCCGGGGTCAAGTTGGTGTTTGGGTTTTTCTGGACCACATGCAACGCCAATCAAGATTTGGGAAGGACAGATGTGGCTATGGCAAGACACTTAAGGCATGGATCAACCACCAAAACCCACACCCCATCCATACCCTGATCCAAAGGGTGTGAATCAACATCACTCAGTTGATCCACACCCTTTGACCTTGGATCAAATTCAGGCTTGGGTTGGTGAAGGGCTCTGCAGTGCAGAATGAAATTGCTGGACTCCACTAACTTCACACTTGGGTGGCAAGAGGCTCCTCCAGATACCGAGCTCTACTCTGCTCCCCAAATGGACAGAGTGGAAGTCGTGTCATTCTGCAAGGCTTTGGACCAGTAGAGGCTGTCTGGCCAACATCCTAGCAAACCCTGTGAATGAAGTTTCTGGCCTCCACTTTGTTCATTTTGGGTAAGACGGACTTGTAGCTACTATGAAGCCTGGTTAGGGCCTTGCAGAATGAAGTTCTGGCCTCCACTTTGTCCAATTTACTGTAGGTGCTAAGGGGCTCTGTAAGACAAATCTCAAGTGAGATTTCTGGGCTCCACTCCACTATCCTCATTTCAAATGCCCTTTCCACGGCAAGCAGCTTCCACTAAGTCATTGTGGCCCCCTATTGTGCCAGAATGGGCGGTGCAGGAGCCCACCAATAGAGCAGTAGGGCAATTGGCTCGGCCTCAGGGTGGACAAGAAGTTCACTACCTGACTGTTAAACGCCACGCCGTTCGGGTCAATTCAGCCTTGGGTTGTTGCAGCACTTGGTTCATTTTGGGTATTGGCGTCAAGCCTCAAAAAGTGGAGTTACTGGATGTGTGGACTTGGATGTCAAGTGTAAAAGAAGAGGAACACAGTGTAGTGGACATGATTATATAACTTGAATGTGGAAGTAGTGCGGGAACCACCAATCTCGCTTTTCAGGAATCTCATCCGTCAATTTGCTTTCGTCACGTCGAGTATTGAAAGGTCATAGACTTCTCAGACTGGAACTACAACCAGTCCACTACTCTACGTTTATAATTACGTACTTGTAGTAACTCCGGAAACCCCGGGTTTGAGCTCGAATGCCCACGACCGATAAGACCGATAAGCCGCTCCCGAAGAGTGCGTCCCCGCTTCTGTTGATCCGAAACACCGCTCCCCATGTCACCTGAGAGGATCCCAATGACATTGCCATTAGCCTGGAAGCTGCCCGGCTGGTCTTTCAGGAGCGCCGGCTTCTTTCGAACGTGTGTTTTTGATGTGAGCTTGACTCCAGAAGTGCTCGACATGGTCTATGGGAATGCTCCATGCCAGGTGAGTTATGCAGAATATGTTCGGGTCTATTTGGTGGTGGCCTGCCGGCAACCACAACGTTATTTTTGTTTTGTGTGTGTTCATCGTTTGCACGGTAAGTGGTTTGTTTGACAGGAAACGCACCACCAAGCGAATCTGGAGACCGCTTTGCAGAGAGCAACCTAGATATATATAAATATATGTATAATACATTATAATATATTGTATACACAGACACATATAGATATTATATAGGGATTTCCGCATTGGAAGGTGGTGTGTGTGTGGTGTCCGACAGCATGGTACACTGTCATCCTGGTCTATAGGTTCAAAAAGTACATGGTTGGCTCCTATGTCGCACCGAAGATGGTATATTCTCAAAACTCAGGAGCTGGCAGCAAATCCCCTTGATTTAGTGTCCTGAATCTCGAACAGCCATGTGGTGTGCAGGAGAATGTGGATGCCATTGCGCTTGCTGCCGCAGATTTGGACTTTTTGTACTTGGTGGAACCCCGGCGCCCCGCAAATCGTTTTGTCAACACCATGACTTGAGGTTCGTTTGACTTTTCTTTTAATCTACCCAATGACCCAGTGATTTGCTCAAAACTTCAAGCGGTGGTTTCACTAGTAAAAATAAGGCAGACAGATGTGTATCATGAAGAAGGACTGATGAAATGATACGTGTGATTCCATCATGCGTGGCGTCGGTAAAAGTCAAACTCCGGGCTACAGGGGCTAAACGTGGTAATTACGGGTCCCACATCATCATGTTTTCAAGCACCAGTGCCACCAGCACAGCGAGGGGATTTGGGAACCCTCATGTGGGACGGCTGGTTATGTGTTCGTGATGATGCTCTTGTAGTTTTCTCCATGATGCCCAGTCTTCAGACTCGATTTGCGAACTGACACTCCCATATCTTCAAAGCATACAGGCATGCCCTTGAGTCGAATTCCAGCAGCCAAGATCACCCTAACCGATCTAACCGATAATATGTATATACTGATATATTGTAATATACATTCTTGGAACGCGGCTTTCTGGGAAATTTCTGTGTTCTTTGCAGAGCGGCTTTGTTTGCACCAAACCGTGTTGCGTTTGCTCGACCATTGAACCACCAGGTTTCTTGCGGCCCTTGCATCGAACGCCTCGCGGAACACGCCGAGGAAGTCTTGCAACGCCACGGGGCACGGGTTCTGGTCCTCTTGCCGCGCCAATGCAACGCGGGCGTTGCACGGGCCTTTCGAGAGACGGCAGAGGTGAAGTCGGGCGAATGAAGGAGTGAATGGAGTGAATGATGTGTGAAGTATAGATGGGTGAGTTGTGTAGCGAAAAAAGAACCAGGAAGGACAGGTCAAACCTCTCCTTCCGACCGCTTTCGTTGAAGGACAGACCCAAAGCCATCGGGTCAGGCCGCCCATACTCGTCCTGATGGACCGGACCTGACGCAGCGGAGGACATCCGGGGATGATGTGAGAGAAAGACCTGGCTGCATATGAACCAGGCGGCCAGGTCGTTTTTTCCGGTGTAGATCCAGATGCGGCAGGTGGAATGGTTCTCTTTTGCAGAAGAAGCTGAACGACAGCCAAAGAAGAAGATGCTGCTGCAGCTCTTCTTGTGGAGTGGAAACATTTGGCTGAATCCCCTCTAACCAGTTCAACCAACCTACCGGTCCTTTTTGGGTCCCAACTTCCTTGCCATCCACCCTGGCGGCCCTGGCTTCCGGTCAAAAGGCATTCGTTATCAATTACAAGGAAGGATGGCCAACCCCCCAGGGTGAAGATTCCATCCAAATGTATGTTGGACTTGGCCCCCTTTTGGTTGGAGGTCCACCTGTTTGTGAAGCACAGTCAAATCGACTTTGTTATGTGAGTGATTTGGCCTCCAGCTTGTAAGAAGCACATCATCTTCCAACTGCATGATGTAATTCTTCCTGTTGCAGCAGAACGTATAACATGGGAAAGGGGATCTTGAAGATACTGTTTCACACTCCAACGCCTTCGGCGGGTGAAGGTGAACCTGTGAACCTGTGAACGGTCAGTTTGCCAATCCATCAGGTCCTGTAGCAAGCAAGATGACCTGGCTTGGAAGGGTTCACAGTAGGAGGGCTGAGAGCTTTGGTTTGCGGTTTGCACACTCATCGCCGCCAGAGGCCGCCATAGAAGTCGTTGATCCAAACCGATGTTCGGCACCGTTCCAAGGTCGTCCAAGCGCTGCAGCAGTGTCTTTGAAGACCTGAAAGCTGAAGACTTCGACCATGGCGAGGCTGTAGGGTGTTGGATGTTTTTTTTTTTTTTTTAAATCACCTGGGTGGCTCAGGTTAGGTATCAAGTGGCGGCGATATGCTGCAACCAGGGATGCAAGGGTTTACCGGTTACCCGGTTAACCTATAGTTGGTCTTTTCCGGGGCTTGATTTTCACGAAGTTTCTCTCAGACCGTGGTTGCTAGGTGCGTGCTGCGACTCACGCAATCCGTGGCGGTCCAGTGGTCCAATCCCGAAGTAACAACTCAGCAAACCACAGGTCTTCATTCCCATGGCGGATCTGCCCTTTGCGGTTGATGCTCTTTTCACCTGCCATTCCCCGTTCGCCCCATACAGGAAGCCATATCTTCACCGGAGTATCTCGGGAAATGACTTCGATCCACAACAAGGAAAAACACTTGCTGCATCTGACGCTTAACGCGCGTGACTTCCTACATCGAAGATGTCCCTCAAGGCAATAAGGCTAACTGTTGTCGCCAGAAAGGTTGCCAACATCAAACGCATTCTGGAGATTGGGGGTTCAACCTCTAGAGCATGATGTGGAAGGGCAGGCGTTTCGGGAGCTTGAAGCTCAACAGCGTGATGTTGCTGGATGTGGACTCACCCAGAAGATGCTTTCGACCGCTTCTTACCAGTATGTCTTAGACTCCGGCCCTAGCTTTAAGCTGCTTTGCCAAGATGAAGGGCCCTCCCGTGCCACCCCGTGATGGCTCGTTTGTGTTCTCCCTTTTTTCTCCTCATCCGTGATGCCTTTCTTAAAGGCCATTGCATATGAACCCTCTTCAGTGTTTGATAGTATTTATTCCTCACCATCCTTTTTAGTACTGTTGGTACTTATATACTTGGTTCTTCCTACTTATTTTGAAGGAACACGGCAAACCAGAGGTCGGCCTGGAGATGATGGACCAGCTGCGAGCCATGCTCTTGGACTGGGGATATTTGGAAGATCAGGTGCGGGTGCTCGATGGAACGAATCAGAAGAGTGGCAGTGAAAACAAAGTGGGGGTGAAAAGCTCGACCACTGCACCACAGCAAACCTCTGAGTGGGACCCCATGAAACAGCTTGGTAGCGAGTTGTTTTAGGCTATGAATCAACGCCTAAAAGGGCCGATGTCTGAAAACTTCTATCGCCTCCAGTGCCACAGTTGATGAGTGACACAGACATACCAAGTCGACGGCCCAAAACTATAACACCTCACCCCTTTTGGAGATCTTGTGCCATGTGGATCATCATCCGCAGAGTTATCGGAGAGAAAAACCACCGAAACCATCCTGTCCTCCTCCCCTCGCCTCCCCTCTCCCCTCTCCTTCGCCAGACACAAGCGCTCTTGCCGGCGGTGGCGAAGTTTGCGGTCTTACACGAACTCGAGGATTTCCCTTTGTGGCCCAAGAGCTTGGCTTATACCCAGCTGGCGAAGGTGGGAACGCTTCGGTTTTTTTTCGCTGAACCCCCTCGTCTTTCGGATGTTGTTTTCTTCAGGCCGACACCGGTTCCGTTTCTTTAGGCTTGCCGTTTTCCATACGGCCGGCGCCAGCCACACGGCAGAGCCACACGAGAACGCACGAATAACACGGTCGCCTCGAGGTCATAGCAGGTGAAGACCTTTTGTTCTCCACTATTTCTCCGTTGCTTTTTTGGGGCTTTTGGCCGAGGTCATCTCCAAGCATGGCGTTTGGAAGCGGAATGACCATCGCCTGATTTTCGTGCTTCCCTGTGGCCCAGCCACTGCCAGCAAGAAGTGGTTGGAGGCCACACAGAAAGATGGGAGTGGCTGGTGCTGGATGCTGAAGGGATTCCATGTGGGTGGGGTCAAAACTAGACCCCAAACCATGCTTTCCCTTTTCCGTACCACGCCCAGCCTCCGATCCTTCGTCGGACGACACTTCGCGCACGTGGTCGGGAGCCAGCATCATGCGACGTAGTGCGACGGTGTTGGTAGAGCAAGCAGAGACATGGAGTTCGATTTACCATCTTTCCATTCAGCCCGTTTTAAATCTGCTAATTGAAATTGTGCACTAACAGATACCGCGTGAAACAAGCGCTAGAATTATTGAGCTACATACACTATCACTATCACAACATTAGTTCGTTTCCTTGGCACAGCCAGAAGCCAACTCCTTCCCCCCCCCGCCATGTAAGGGCCATAATCTATTTTTTGGGGCCGGTATACGCCTGGACCCGTACCGCGCGGTCCACCGTCGACCCGTCCCGTCTGGCCGTCTGACTGGTTGAGGATGATTCTCTTGGAGAAAAAAATCTGCTTCCAAGGGGTCACCCGGGACAACCCTACACTTATAGGTCTCCAGATGCACCCAGAGAGGAAGTGCTAGGTACACTCCGAGTCACTCACATGGACGGGGAGCAAACACCCCGAACTTCGTAGAGCTGTTCTTCCAGGAGCCGAACTGCGTGCCATCGTCTAAACCATGTCAATGTGTTCGTCCGAGTGTACCTTCTTCAACTTTCAGGTGGGTCTCTTAATATTGGAAGCTTTTTTCAGCGGTCGGTTTGATCATAGACCCCAGAAATAACCAAGTTTTTCCCCAAACAGTTTACTGTTAGGGGTTCTCAATGCTTTAAAGAATGGTCGCCTTGGTGCTGGATGGTCTGGTCGGGTTTCCGGCTGGCTTGTCTCCCACTTCCTTTCATATGTCTCCCACTTCTTTTCATTTGTCTCCCTGGGTGCTTGTGGTCGGGTTTGCGGCTGGCTTGTCTCCCACGTGCATTCATTTGTCTCCCACTTCCTTTCATTTGCCTCCCAATTCTTTTCATTTGTCTCTCAGGCCACTTCCTTTCATTTGTCTCCCACTTCTTTTCATTGTCTCCCAGGCTGGGTGCTTGTGGTCGGGTTCCGGGCCGGCTTGTCTCCCACTTCCTTTCATTTGTCTCCCACTTCTTTTCATTTGTCTCCCAGGCTGGGTGCTTGTGGTCGGGTTCGCGGCTGGCTTGTCTCCCACTTCCTTTCATTTGCCTCCCAGGCTCGGTAGGCTGGGTGCTTGTGGTCGGGTTCACTTCCTTTCAATTGTCTCCCAGGCTCGGCGCTTGTGGTCGGGTTCCCGGCCAGCTTGTCTCCCACTTCCTTTCATTTGTCTCCCACTTCTTTTCTGCTTGTGGTCGGGTTCCCGGCCGGCTTGTCTCCCACTTCCTCTTATTTGTCTCCCACTTCTTTTCATTTGTCACCCACTTCTTTTCATTTGTCTCCCAGGCTGGGTGCTTGTGGTCGGGTTCCCGGCCCGCTTGTCTCCCACTTGCTTTCATTTGTCTCCCGGTTCTTTTCATTTATCTCCCAGAAACGCTTCATTTGTCTCCCAGGTCCGTCATGCCATGTAGCATTTCTATTCATTTGTCTTTGTCACTGCTAATTTCCGCCCTTTTCCGCTGGCCATGCAGCATTTCTATTCATTTGTCCCCCAGGCTTGTCACTGGTGGTGTCCGCCCTTTTCCGCTGTTTCTATTCATTTGTCTCCCAGGTCTGTCACTGTAGGTGTCCGCCCTTTTCCGTTGGCCATGTAGCATTTCTATTCATTTGTCTCCCAGGTCTGTCACTGCCAGTGTTTTGTCTCCCAGGTCTGTCACTGCTGGTGTCCGCCCTTTTCGTCGGCCATGCAGCATTTCTATTCATTAGTCTCCCAGGTCTGTCACTGTTGGTATCCGCCCTTTTCCGCTGGGCGTGCAGCATTTCTATTAATTTGTTTCCCGGGTCTGTCACTGGTGCTGCCGCCCTTTTCCGCTGGCCATGTAGCATTTCTATTCATTTGTCTCCCATGTGACTTCTTTCTTTTTGTCTTTCAGGTTTGGTGCCTGCACTGCTGTTTTCTGCCCTGTCCGCTGGAACAGGTTCGCCTGTGAAAGGTTCTTGCTCCTTTGCAAGGGGTGCGTGACTGTCTCCGGGATTGCATTCCTGCCACACTGTGTAACTCTCTCAGCTTTGTTTTCCTTCTCGGGCAACCGTTGGATGAATGACCGGATTGGATTTCGGCGGCGTGGCAGCGATCTCTCTATTCAGTTGGGGCGGAGGGCATATGTCAGGCACCAAAAATCAATTTCATGTCACATCCTTCGCTCCTCATGCTTTTGTTTCTTGTCCTCACGTGGTCAGCTCCCCGCTGACTGAGCAGCATGACCAGCATCATGTTCGCGCTTGAAGAATAATTCCCCAAAAGGTTTACTGTTAGGGCTTCTCACTTCTTTCTTAAGATGTGTCCCCCCGCTCTGTACTGCTGTGTCCGTCTCTGCCTTGCAATCCTTTACATTTATCTCCCAGCTCTGGACGTCGCAAGCTCTAGTTTCGATTTTGAAAAACACAAACTGTTTGGGGTCTACGGTGGTGTAATTTTAGACTTCAATTGAATGAACTCGACACCCAGACATGACCGAAGCATCACAGGGTCCGAGTTACCGAGTCCTCGTCCTCGTACATCCTCGTACTGAGTAGGCCAGAGTAGGCCAATGGGCGTCCGGTTGACGCATGAGACCTCGGACATGTCCAAAACCATCGGTTGACTCGGACATGTCCTGGGTCTTCCACTTCTTCCCATGCTCGGTCTTCAGAACCTTCGTGTCCACCGGGCCTACCGGCACAGCGGCGGAGCTGCGGAGTGTGGCCCGGTTCGAGGCCTGTGGCTCCTCGAAAGCCGTCAGCTACGTGCGGGCGGGGGGCGCCTTCCTGCTGCGCGAGTCGGAGGCGGTGGCGCTGGAGGCGGGGAGTGGGAGGAATCGGCCACCGTCCTTGGCTCATCGTGTTTCTCTCTTTCATCGTCTTGGGTGGAGTGTTCAAAAGCAACGTCAGAAGGTCTCTGGGCCCCTAGAGACCGTGCTTGTTCGGCGGATTTTGGTTCAAACAACCATGCAGCGTGTCGCTGAGACCAGCCGGTCGGTTTCGATCTGGTCTTGGAGGGTCCCATATTCCACAGTGAAGCTGATGTCTTGAAGAGGTCCTGCAGAGGCTCGGGTACTATGGCGACATGAATGAGGAGTGGCCGGCCTGCAAAGGTGTCGCAAACTTCTTCTTGTGTAAGATATTGGAGTCTTAGTTGCCCTCCGCAAGCTAGTTTGAGCTACCTTAATCGCTGTTGGCGATCCAACGGCACACTTGCAATTTTCGAGTTTCTTTTCAGGGCATTTTGCCATCGGTCTCTCACAGCGTCGGGGGGGTTCTGTGGGGTGGGGCTGGGAGGGGGCAGTTTCTATAAATGAATTAAGTAGGGTTTAATTCGTATTCATCAGGTCATCCTTAGTTATACAATTCAAATTTTCCAGAACATCCAGATCATTTTTGATTTGTATTGCGCACCAAAACCAGGGTCTTGGAGGCAAATAATAGTCAGGATCCATATTTGTTGTAAAGTTCAGCACCAGAAGTAGTAACAAACTACAGAAAAAGGCTCAAGACAACAATGCAGCAGATTGTTTTTCTGTCATAGTCACAGAAACTCAATGAAAGCAGAATGAACACAAAATCCAAGCACATGAAATGCACTTCAGAAGTGACTTTTATTGCGGCTACCCCAAAGGCCCCAAAGACCTTCCCCCCCAAAAGAACAGAATTGGAGAGGTTACCCCCCTTATTATAACGAATTTCACATTAAAGAAGATTTGTTTCTAAGCTGAACAGTTCTCGGAAGACATCATCTCAGTAACGAGATGCAGAACTTATTCACGAATTTGGACCGTTCAAATTGTGGAGCCCTGCCTTGACCAGAACGACTTGCTCTGGTGGAAGATGCCACACTGCTGTCTTTTCAGTGCTTTTCACTGCAGGATCTTCCTCTGCAGGAACAGCGGAAAAGCTCAAACACAAAGTGCTGGCCTCTGCGTGCCATCAACTTTTGCACAAAGAAACACGGCCTACTACGGGTCCTGGCTGACGTCCAAGACCAGAGGAAAGAGTCACCGATGTGCGCTAGTAGCCATCCGAGTGTCAGGCAGCCCAGTCACCCCTCTTCGGATGAAGGGACTCAAACCCATTGGCCAGGGGGGCCCATTTGGCTCAACACATACTTTAACTTTAACTTGCTTCGCGCAACATATTCAACACAGCTTTGGGACCTCTTTGCGACCACGTATTGCAACCTCGCACCAGGGCTGAAAACCATGCTGTTCCTTTTCCGATTTCAGATCCAAACATCCGGCAAATATTTTGATGGGCATAAGCAGTGCTTGAAAAACCACTCGTTCACATCTCCTCCGTCCGGGTTCTCGTGTGGAGCCTGCATTTCTGTGTCCAGACATCCACTGCACTGCAGTAGAGCTCCTCATCTTTTTGTTTGGGCAAGACGAGGAAACACAGGGTAGGGTAGTTCATCATCTCGGCGTCGCGAGGACCTCAGTGAAGCCATTGACATCTTTGCCAGCATGAAGCTTCTCCCGCAATTAGCCTGCGCCCCAATTCGACCATGTCAGCGTTCTTTTGAGGGATGTCGGTTTTTCGGAGTCGGTGGTCTCAATGACAGGTTTGGGAGTCTTCGTCCCAACGCTAGCATCATTCGCATGTGGCTCACGGATGCAGTGTTGCGGGCTCCAGGATCGTTTTCGCCTCCCCGCAGGGGGCTGTTGACTCCCTGTGGCACGTTGAGTCCTGCATGCCGTCATGGGAAAGACACCCACTGCGGTACAGGGTATAACAAGAAGCTACGAACGTAACAAAGGGCATCGCTACTAGGAACAAGGAAGCTACGAACGTAGCTCCGGGCATCGCTAGTAGCAAGAAACTACTAGTAACAAGTAATCTTCAGATACTCACATGACCAGGCCACTTGGTCCCACCGAGGAAATCCAATGACCAGGCCCTTCAAGTCTCCGGGCTCTCCATCAAGCCCCACTTTTCAGTGGGGAACCCCGGCCTGTCGGACCGAGCACGAGAAAACAGAGATCTCGGCGCAGGAAGAGATCGAACCACGAGTGGTGTTGCGTAGTTTGGGTTTCCCTGCAGGACCTCGAACTAGGCGATATGACCACCCAAGATTCATGGTGCAGCCATCCCACTTGTGCCATCACGTCTATTGGTTTTGGCAACATGACTTGCCTCCCAAACTTTGTGGTTTCGGTCATCGATTGTGCCGAAAGTGACCTATAGTTCCTCCAAAAAAGCCACAGGCGCTGTGTCTTTGCTGCGAAACACGCGGCCACCGCTTGCTTGCGCGCCACAGGGCGAGAGGTGTGGCACACAGCGCTGTGGAAGCATGACTGCGCTGCAACAGCGCTGTCTTCCATGGCAGCTCACCAGGTCATGTGGACGCGACAGAGCATGCTGTCGCGATGCAAGCGTGGCAACCTCATGGAATGACCACATGGAATAAGCACGGCACCATGCCCGCGTGACAGAATGACATTTCAGCACTACGCCACGACAACATCAGAGTAACAGCATGTCAGCATATCTGCTTCCTCCGGAACCTCCTGACCCCGGCAACCTCCATACCCTGCTCGGGAACCTGCTCCAGAATCAGCTCTGGAACCACCTCTGGAACTTGCTCCGGAAGCTGTGCTCCGGAAGCTGTGCTCCGGAAGCTGTGCTCCAGAACTTGGTCTGGAATCTGCTCCGATCTGCTAGGAACTTCTGGGGACCCCCCTAAGCTTCGCTGTTGGCATCAACACATCTTTCGCACACCTGGGATCACACATCTTGGCCTTGGACATCAAGAACAATGGCTTGACTTGCCCCAGGTTCCATCCATGAAGGCTCCATCCCTTTGGCTTTTCGGTGTTGGATCCGTTCCCGACCGGTCCGTTCCCGACCGGTCCGTGGGGGCCGTCCGTTGGAATTCGGTGGGGACCCTGATGAACGACGTCCTCAACGTGGCTTTTTCTCGGATTCGTCGGGCGGCCCATGAGGTGCACCGGAAGATGGCCTTGCTGCACGCAGCCTTGGTCTCTCCTCGAGTGCACGGCGAATGGCACATTGCACCCGGCGACGGTGGGGTGTGGGAGTGGGAGGTGTGTGTGGGAGGTGTAGCAGGTGTGGTGGGTTGGAACTGGCAAAGACCGAGGTTGTTTTGGCATGTTTTTGCACTTGTGTCACCAGGTTTTTGTTTAGAAGTTAATATGCAATTAGATGCCACATTTGCTTGTCGTGCCAGTTACTTGCCAGACGATGCCAGGTTCGATTTCATGTAGCTGCTCAGTTGTGCACATGGTCCTAGTGGTATTTGTTTTTTACGTGTATACTTAGTTAAGACACTTCTGTATTCCGTGGTTTTGAACAGTCAAAAATAGACCAGTAGCCAAGTTCAAGAGTTGGCGCGGACAGTAGCTAAGTGCAGAGCTAGCTAAGTTCACAAGTTAGCGTAGACAGTAGCTTGGCTAAGTGAAGTAGCGTAGACAATACCTAAGTGAAGAATTGGAAAGTGTGTAACTGTCGTCGAAAATCAAGATGGAAGCCACCGAAGTATGCAGCTGCCATCGAACATCAAGGTGCAGCACGTGCTGCGTGGCTTTTCGCAAGATGGAAGTTGCCAAAGTTGTGTAGGTGTGGTCGAGCATCCAGGTGGTAGTTGCCAAAGTGTGTAACTGTCGTCGAAAGCCAAGGTCGAAGTTGTTGAAAACGAAGGTCCATGTTGCCAAAATGTGTAATGAACTGTCGTCGAAACCAAGATAATCAAGGTCGTAGTTACCAAAGTGTGTAGGTGTTGTCGAAAACCAAGCTCGAAATTGCCAAAGTCTGTATGTCGCGAAGGTTACCAGAGTAGCGTAGACTCGTAGACCAGTATGTAGCTAGGTTCAAGAGTTAGCACATCCAAGAGTTAGCGTAGACAGCTATAGCTAAGTTCCAGAAAGATTCGTCGCAGAGACCAGGAAACATCCGTGAAGAAAGGAGTGTGTCTCTCAAAACGATGAACTCTATCAGTTTTGCTTTGTTTTTTGAATCCTTACGCCCTTGGTTCGCCAAGACTACTCGATTTTAATAAGCAGCAATAACAACAATAATTACTACTTACAGAGTGCGAACGATGAATGGGTGGCCCCACGGCCCTGGCCGCCCTTGCTGACACAAAGCATGATCCCAAACGATGACGGACCCCGCACAGACCTGGCGCGGCGCTTCTTAGTGGCGCGAGGGCTGCTGGCTGGCCACTGGGACGTAGGTTGGTGGGAACAAGTGCTGGCTGTAGTTTTGGTGTTTTTTTTTTTTTTTTTTTTTTTCCGTTGCTGATGTTTGTAAGAACGAGTTGGGCGCTCTGTCAAAAAACCTTTATTCCAAGTCGAGTTCTTTGGTGAGTGGGTAGGTGATGGTTGGGATCTCTTCAACGAACCGTAGCACAGTAGCTGCAGACCACCCTTGAAGATCCTTGAAGGGAGATAGCAGAGAAATGACTTCTAATTGGATGTGATGAAGTCGATTTCATAGATCCCACTCCATTCTTGAGCACCTTCCAGCTGTCAGGGAGGAGCCTCCAAAGTCGCCTTACAAACCTGCCACACTTGGTGAATTCTGGTGTTTCTCTTGGGAAAGGGACGCTTCCTCACAGGGAGATTCCGACTTGGATCCGGACCACGAAAGATCAGATCCCACCATCTCTTGCGGCACCAGTGAGGTTTGGCGGTCCCATTGTCATTGGACCCGCGAAACGACGGGATGAGGTCTCAAACACCACACGACCAGGCCTTGGGACCTGGTCGGGTCACGGGTGAGCTGGCGCTCAGGTGGACAGGGGGCCGATCGGAAAGAGGTGTGGAGAGCTTTGGAAAGCTTCCTGGAGCAGTCAGAGCTTCCAAGGCCCAGGAGAAAGAGCCACTGTTGAGCGTTTTTCAATCAATGCAGCGATTCGGTCCTTTTCAGGTGCACAATCTCTCGCTTCAACAGGATCCTGCAGTTTCCAGAATGCTTTTTGGGTTCAAGTTCAAACCAGTGACACAGACACTTCGGGCTCTAGGTATGGAGCATGTCTTAATGGCAAACCTCTTTCTATATGACAATAGCTGAGAGTCCGCCTCAACGTCAAGATGTTGCGTTGACTGGAGATCCCAATCCCTCAAGGGCAGACGAATTACACCTGGGAAAGGATTCGCTCCCACGGTTTTTGCGGAACGGCCACCCGGGCTCGTTGGTTTCCTCTTCTCGACGCAGCGGGCACCTCCCCACCCGAGGAGCTACAACGCAGCGGTGAAGCAGTTGAACCTCCTTTTGAGCTCGGAGGATCCCAGTTCCCGGTCCCCCCGGGTCCCCCGGGTGGACCCCCCGCGGCAGCGGTCCCCGCGCGCGGTGCACGGTGAACCGAAAAGCGGCCAGCGGTTGGCCGATGACGACGGCCGTCTGAGGGGGGAAGGGTGGTGGGATCGGTTTGAAAGAGAGGACTCAGGACGGACAGATTTGGGTTTGTAGACACCGTGAACAGGGCTCTTTGATATTTATATATATATATATGAATTGTTGGACCCTGTTTGGAAAAAACAACTTTTTGTGAAACACACACACCGCACACGAGAATGTGGAAGGTGAATTCCTTTATCCGGAAGGCTGGTTTCTCAACCTTCGTTCAACCCTGCAGGCACCCAAGTCTCCTTTCCCTGCGCTTCGGACACTCACCTCTTGCAAGACGGATATTGGTTGACTGCTGGGATGTGCTGCAGAGTATAGCTGCCCCTCACGTAACCCAGAGCTTTCACCGGTTGGCTAAGCCACCTTTCTTTGGCGCCAGAGGACCATTTTCTGAAAAGGGTGCCACGTACATTCTGAACGTCGTTGGATGACCGTTCGTCTCTCGCAAATGACTTGACGGATGAGGTTTCTGCGGTTTCAACTCAGAGGAACAGCCGAAATGAGCCGAAAAGCACCGTGAGGTTGGAACCCAAGCACAGCCCCGAGTAGAGGTATAGACATAGGTCGTATCATAGTCATAGAGGTAGGAATATGGGTCGGACAGCACCCTGCTGTCGAAAAACCTGCTGCATGCTGCATGCTGCTTTTGCAAGCCGTGTGGATGCTTGCTTCACCCATGAAGATACTGGGCAGCTGAGCACGAAGATTCTAAGCCACACATCACCAAGAATATGTTCAGTCCAGCAGCAATGAAGGACTCTACACTTTTCCCTCTGAGTACAAACAATGAATATCCAAGGATGCCCTAGACTGTTAAATCCATTTAGCATCACAGGTTTTCGTGGCAATGCTTGAGGACCTTCTACGGACTTGCTGGGCGCAACGCCGAAAAAACCATCACCCGCCGACCTTACAGACGAACCAGACACCGTCGAAGCCCCACTGGAGCCGAGCCGACCGCCGCTGCTCCCATGGACGCCGAAGCCGCGCTCCAAGAGCCCTTCCTCGCCGAAGGCCTGCGGCCGAAGCTGCTTGGAACGGTCCCCACTCGGTCCACCGCCCCACAAGGGACGACCGGTGCGGTCAACGGTGCGCGTTCCGAGACGTGACGTGAGGACGTGACCTGGAGCGGACCGTGAGACGGGTCCGGGAAAAGCGGCGGCTGACGGCAGACAGACCACGGGTTTTGTTTGTGAAGACACCGACAACGACGAATTCTTCCAAGACCTAATGCGCCGTCGTAGACGAAGTACCTGAAGATGAAGACGAACTCTCCGCGGGGGCCCAAACCACCGGGGCTTGCAATGCTCTGTGTCGTCCCCCGCTCTGTGCAATCGTCAGAATGTGTAGTCAGAAGTCAGACATCGTAAAATCAGAATGCCCTGTCAGTGGGAATACGCTGTCAGAGGAGGTGCGTTGCCAGGGGACTCTCTTTGGGGCAGGTCAAACGTTACACCCCACGTGCTGATACCTTTGACAGAACAGAAAGTCAGAAGACCACCAACTCGCAGATTAAACAGAGGTCATGCAGGTGTGAAGCTGAGAAAACTCACTTGCTGATCTTGTATCCTGCTAGTGACTCTTCGATCCCAGTATTCGCCACCCAAAGTATCACATATAGTATCACCGTTCGCTAGTAGCGTCCGAACGCTCCGTTCATAGCGATGCCGTTCCGTTCGTAGCGTCCTCTTGCTCCGTTCGTAAGGCCAGGAGACCCGTTCGTAGCGTCGTTGTGAGTTCAGTTCTTTTCGCCCCCGGGCTGTTCATCCCAAAAACACCCTCCCGCCACGAGACTCACTAGCTATGCAACTTTTATAGAAGCAATTCCATATACAAACACATACAAACAAAGTAGCGATTGCTACTGGGCAGAGGGTGAATGAATCCATGGCCAGGTTAGCCTCTGGCTGCTTGCTCATAGCCCTTGACCTCTTGTTGAATGGCTCAGTCAATGATCTCGATCGGGAGTCCCCAGTCAAATGCGCCTCAAAATGCCCAAGCAAGTTCGTACCAGAAAAACCCAGTAAGGAGCCACTAAGACCCGTGCTTCAGGTTCCGCTTTTTACGCTTGACTGCTGCGCTGAGTGGTCTGGGCGCCCTTGCCACTCTCGCATGGCCCTCCGGCCCTGGAAGACCTGTGGCGCTCTTGGCATCCGACGAGGTGCCGACCTTGCGGATTTTAGGAGGCGGGGTCATCGCAGGATCTGGGGGCAGGGATGGGTGTTGATCCTACCCAACTCCAAAGCATCGGCGATCCTTTCGAGCTTGCACCTTGGTCAGCGACAGCTTGGACAGCACCTTTCGAGCTTGGAGCCTGCGAAGAGGAGGTTCTGCCCTGAGAAGCCTCCAAGAGCCGGGATCTTGGCCGAACAGCTCCTGTCCAACTTCAATGCCGAACAGCTTAAGTCGCTGCCGCCTTACGTGGCCGAAGTGGTACAGCTCGGCCAAGCCAAAGTGATGGTGCAAGCCGCCAAGATATGGGTCATGGCACCAGGAGACCGGGGCACGACCCACCTGTTGGTCGTTCGCTACATGGTGGACCAGGTCCCTAGGTTTTGACCCATCACCGTATGAGCACATCGGGGACCTGTCAAGGTTTCACAAGACATGCGGCCCCTGTCTTGGGAGCCAAACCGAAACGGAACATACAAGAGATTGCGAAAAAAGTACACAGCGCAGGCATGTTCTTATATTTTCTTAAGACTCTTTTGTACTGACAAGATTATACAAGTGTCACTTTACACTGACTCAAGTCTGAGGGTGTTTCAGAGTTCGTCAGAGCTTGATTCCATATGATTCCATTGGTGGAGTGCTGGAGCGCTTCAGGTTCTTTTCACCTGACCTCATCCAGCTGTTTTCCCGCACGCAGCCAGGCCCCGACGCCCCTCCGCGTGAGCGCTCTTGGGTGCCGCGGGTCTGCACAGAGCTGTACGAGGGCCCCAGCTGCTCGAATACGACGAAGTGGAAAGGGATTGCCCCTTGGCCAAGATTCAAGATCAAGTGTGTGTGGCTCAAAGAAATAGAGCAAACTGTAAACTGTGGGCCCTTCGGGCTTCCTGCAGCCAATTTGTGGGGTCTTCAATTGCTCCATCTCCATTTCTTGAGCCCCGGCCACTTGGTTTCTGGAATTGGGATGTGATAGAACGCTGGTGGTTCGCCATCCTGCTGTATGTCAGAGATCTCTCTGTCTCAGAAGGGGAACGGTGATTCGCCGGTGTGACTTTGATCGTGTTTGCATGTTTTTGGAGACAGCACTCACTATGTCACCATGGTTCACCCACTCCTTGGCGGACTAAAAGGAGGTCATCAGATGTGATTCTTTGTGATTTTGTGATAGAGACCGGGGTGGTCAGAGTCATTTCCTTTGTCGTGGCCATGACTGGATCGCCAGCAAGGGCGAATCACCTTAATTAATTGCTGCCAAAGCCCCACTTTTCATAGGAATCATTCTTTGGGGCTACACCGCCACAGCAAAGCTTTTTTGGGCCAAAGGAATCCACTTCCTTTCCATGAACATGCAATGTATATGAACAGTTCGTGCCTCGCAACTCGCCAGTTCGGTTACGGGAGGGCGCCGGTGAGTTTCGTACCCCTTGCTTGCCCAGCTCTTGTTTTTTTTGAGGTCACACTGGAGATTCATGGGCGGACCATCGACAACGTGAAGATGCACTCAAGGGGTCATTCTTCCGCCATGTGCCTCCGGCAGCAGCTGTGAGCTCGAGCAATAGCACTAGTTTGGGTCTGTGCCGACGTAAACCTGTCGGCAGAATGGGTCTTATCACCCTTTTAGAGAAAGGCTTACAACCTAACCATCATCCACTGAAACCTGGTATATATATAATATATATACAATTATATACATATATATATATATATGTAACGGCGCAAGCAATAGTCATCGTCTTCGAAGATCGAACGAGTCAATGGCTGAATGAGCTTTCTCAGATCTTTGCCCTTTGCCCCACCCACCCGCCGTCCTGGCCAGCCAAGCCAGCTGGCTGCGCGCGCAACCCGCGGCGAAGGGAGCGGAAAGCCTCGACTTTGGGCTTCCGAGATGAGTTCCATGGGATGAACAAAACATGACCAAACTCCGATAGTTGTTTTTGGCCATGAAGACTGAGTCCTCGAGGTTCCCCAAGCATCAGTTCGCGCTCCGCCTGCCCACCGCAATCCCGTTGCTTGGGATGACGCCCGCTAGGACGGAGGGACACGGAGCTTGGTCAGCTGGACTCTTCGAAGAAGTCAAATCCAACAAGGATTTGTTGTAAGAACCACAAGCACCCATCTGACCATCTGGAGACCTCTGGATGATGGTCAGCTGGGCTGTTGTTCCAAGCTATTAAGAATTTCTTCTTTGCACCATTCTTGCGTTTGGAATTTGGAGATGGTGGTTTGGCTGAACAGTTCTAATTCGACTCGCACAATGAGGCCTTTTTTCTGGCCCAAAGAACCACGTGCAAGAAATGCTTCAGCACGACCCTCCTCAAATGACCTGAACTGCATTTGATCTGTCCATGTCCATCCGAACCTCTTCCTTTGAAACCACGTTCGGACCAGTGGGACCGCCGGACACAAAACCGAGTCGACGGATCCACTGAGACGTCGGCGAGAGCTCGTGGAAGCAGTGAACACAAAGTAATGCGAAGCCCCCCCCATATGAAGAGGATGTTCAATTCCAATGGGGTGGGTGTATAAATCGGATTTTCCATCCGTGAACATGGCCATGTTTGAGACCGGGACGATTCTTTATCGTGATCATGGCCATTGTGCTTCGTCGTGTGAAGAGACCGGGACTGATGATACTTCGCTGATGAACGCGGGACAGTCTCCGCGTTCGCCCACGCGGCGGTTAGCTCACTCTTGGTTCGGTCGTGCTCCCCAGTGGCGGTTTGTGAACGTCATGAACCAAGTCTCCGCCATGCAGGAGATGCCTGAATCCTACAGTGCTTGTGGCAGTTGACTTTGGTTGATGGCAACGGTCACCGATGTGATGCCCACAAGAACAATGGAGGATTCAGATTCAGTGAAATTCATTGAAGTGTTTCTCAAACCAAAGAAGGATGCTAAGACAGCTCCTGTCTCGTGGAACTTTCATTTGGTTCCCCTTGGTCATCAGATGGAGCAACCTTCCAGGATGCCCCAGGGGGTGGATTCACGAACATCGAAGATAGTTTTACTCATGGCCACGTAAGGTCCTTGGAGTTTGAAAAATTCCGATGCACCATCTGAGCACCAAGAGAGGCCTGGTACCCCTGGGCCCCTGTCCACCCACCCTGTCTAGATCTCTAGGAACAACATGTGACGTTCTGCTGGATGGGTGTGGCCCCCCACCGGGTCGCCCGGTTTCGTCCCGCGGAACGGAGCACCAAACCACGGATCCGGATCCGTGCCGCGGAGGGGTCCCGTGCTGCGGTCGGTGCCAGGACCTGGGTCTTAGCGACCTCCTTCGCCCCTCGGAGGATGAAGCGAAGACAAGGGATGAAGCACCTGTTCGGTCGCGGACGAAGGGCACAGTCCTCCAGTCCGAAGAGGAGCGATCCACCATGCGTTCAGAATTGGGCCTTCGTAGTGTTTCCCTTGAGAGTAAATCGAGCCCAGGTCCCACATGTCAAACCGCTCCGCGACATTTGGGACACAGAACTCCCAGATGTGAAAAACAGCGAGGTGGATGTCTCTTTCCAACGCAACCCGCTGGCCTTCGACATCTATCGGCATCTTGGTGGTTGGGCCACCGAGACTGCTTATGTCAACGTGGAGTGGCATGGCGACCTGCCTGAAGCACGGCGGCGCAAGAATGCCGTGCGCTGGGACCACACGTGTCTTTTTGGGAGAGAGACACAACAAAGACATGAAAGGCAGGCAGTGGATTCAGAGCGAGCTCATTTCTTATATTTGGAATTCCACGAGAGAATCTGAGCATCCACTTGTTTCCAAAAACATGCGGTGCGTGAGTTTGGGTGATGAAACCAGTGATGAAACGAGGTCCGGGTGACCTCGTGATGACTTGGCTATTCATGACATCTCTCAACTATCACTTATAACATCTTATAACGCATGAAGAGCATCCAACATGAAGCTTGTCATTGGTTGGTGATTCATGCGTGCCCTCACACTGAATCCGTGTCAAGTTCTTCCAGAGAACTTGGGCAGACAGGACTTTGACCGTCTCAAGCGGTTCGCACATTAAAACCCCCCAGTTCGGCACCAGGTCAGTATTACGGCCTCTATTACGTGGGTCAGCGCATCAAGTGTGGGCAAGGCCGATTAGCACCTTGCTGGGAAGGTCGAGGTGGACTCTGTCAGCGCATTTGGCACTCACGACGGTGCAAGAAAACGGAAGGAATAGGACATGACTGACAGCGACAGCGAAATCAGGACGTGAGAGAAGGTCACGTTCGCGAGAACATTCATATGGATCAAACGTGATCACACCAAAAGGAACACGGAAACTCCAAAGAAGGACCCGGAGGATACGGTTGCCTCTGTGTTTTTTTTGGGGGTTCGCCGAGTCCGGACCAGCTGACGCAGAGGCATGAAGCTGAAGGAAGATGCGACATGAAGCTGGTAGCGTTTCCGATTCCTGCTTCGATTCCGAACATTCCTATTTGGTAGACCTCGTTCAAAACGCCCCCCCCCTGGAGCGTCTCTTCTTTCTTCCGGGGTAGAGCGGGGGCTCACGGGACGATTTTCGCGCATGCTTCGATTTTCAGTGCTGAGGATGTTTGCCATCGAGATCCTGACCCTGACGCCTCTGGATTTCTTCTCACCATTGATTGGGCCAAGCCAGGCGATGTCTCTTGGCTGGTGGGGGACGGGGCTCCGGTGGGGGCTCCGGTTTGTGTTGATCCCAAAAGAGGCGGCGCAGCCGGTGGGTTTTGGCTGTCTTGGTCGAAGACTAGACCATATTAAAGACCAGAAAGGAGATGGGGAACTTGATGGATTTGAGCGACCTTCGTAGTTTGCACTTACCCTCTCGTGTACAGCAAGGCTTGCGTTGAAGCCGGGGGTGTTCCGGATGGCCCAGGACCGGGTCCAGCTCCAAGCTGAACTCATCAGCAGCGGACTCCAGTCCAAGCCGGAAAAAGGGTCCACCTCAACATGGTCCTGGCATTAGCTCACCCGAGTGGTTAACAAACTGCTCAACATGGGCAGAAGAGGCACTCTGTGGCGAACAGCCTCGTTACTCACACCGGGCTATGGACCTTGATTCTGCGCAATACGCTAAGTTAAGATCATCCAGAGCGTCGCATAAGCTTGCTTCTGATCTCCGCAAGCTCTGGCTGCGGACCCGATTGCTCGTACGATGCTCTGTGGAGTGGCGCTAGTGCTGCACGCCTGCTGGTACCGACCAAAGCGACGAAGGGTGAAGGTCAAGCCTTTCTTTGCGAATCAACCATTTTCTGAGTACAGTAATATATATATATATATAAAAAGCTGACCACTCCACTTTCTGCCGCCATTCGGGCATGTCAAATAGTCCATGCCAGCAATCCGAATAGTTTACACACTTGATTTTCAACCTGTTAAAACAAGGCACACAAAGCACGCATATGTTTATTATTATTTGTATTTCTTTTTTTCCACACGTGATGTTCAACTCGTTTTTTTTTTTTTTTAGGACTTTAAGACACATGCTTTTTTTTTTTCCTCTGTTCAATTCCGGGTCGACTCCCGACCTCCTTCAGGTCGCTCTGAAGAGTTCCTTGGAGCGAACGACGGGAAGCCGCGACGGGAAGGGTCGCGGTGGGAGTTCTGGCAGGCTGGGAGTTCTGGTTTTGAGTAAAGAGACAAGAATGCCACATCCAATGAAATGGGGGGCTTCATGAAAGCAAGAAAACAGATACATCTTTCATTTTTTCTTGAATCTTCTTTTTGATCATTCAAGGGGCGTGCTGGAATGGCGGGATCTTGCGCTCACTCTGCTTTTTCAAGGGGGGAGTTCGTTTCGTTGCAACACTGGCCATGCTTTGCATGGATGTGCAGCTACTGTAGGGCCTCTAGCGGGTGGGTGGTGAGGGTCGAGCAAAAGAGAAGAACTACGAGGCGCCATTGTAGCTCTAGAGGTGGTTGGTCATTCCGTGTCCAAACTGTTTGGCAGGCACAATCATCACTTTTGAAAGCTTGTTGCGGCTGGGAAGCTGGTTTCATAGAAATGGCTTCAACCTCTCCCAATCCTTGGGCCTCGCCCCGACCTTGAGGCAACGTGACATCCACTTTCTTCAATGTGCTCTACCCGACTGGCGCGTTAAGACCACAGGAGCCGTCTCGGGATGGTAGAGATGGGGAGCTCCCATAGCCGAGGGCGCTTGACTTGAGTGTGGCGTTTTTGTGGTGTGGGGACGCTCGTACATGGACGCTCTAGACCCAGTTCTTTGGCGCAGCCGTTACGTGTGTAACCGCTCAAAATAACAGAAACAAAGTATACGATTCACTTTGATTGCATATTGCATATTAGAATGTATTGTTTTGCCCTGCGCGTCGATGAGCTGAATGAGACAAACAGAAGAGCTGGGCCCATATGTATATATAAATATTTTATGTAATTAACACACACATATATATATATATATATGTACACCCTAGGAATGTGTTCATTGAATACGAACATATAGAACTCCTGTGAGGCCTTCTTGATATCGCTTGGTGTCAAATGACAAAGATGATGCTTTCGGATTGTGATTTTGCACGGAAGTGGTCGAGACTGACATCCCCAGGTTCCTGATGCATATGTGGCACACGTGTTTGTGCCTTTTAGGCTTCATAACAACTTCAGCACAAATCATATTGCTGGAAGTTAGACAAAGCAATGTACCAGATCAGGGGTACTCCTGATGACACATCCTGCTTGAAACCACCTCACCGTAACCAGTACCCCACAAGTGCAGTATTTCAAGTCTTGCCTTGCCGCCCAACATCTTCAAATCCGTTCAACCGGTTTGTAGACGAGGCTGCGTCATGATGAGCACCATTCGTCCATGGCGAGCTTTGTGCAGTCAGTTGGTTAGCCGTGAAGCATCCAGCTTGTGCAGTCAGTTCATTGGCTTTGTGGAGCCAGTTGGTTGGTCATGCCCAGTTGGATGGCGATCTACTCGTTTTGTGGTCAATCTGGGCATCCCAATCGCGTCTTCAAAAAACGGAACGTGCCTTCAAATCTGCATGATCCTCGGATGACGCGCAGACGCGTGCGCTGAGCAGCGCGAGTCCCTTTGAGGAGCTCGACTTCTTGGGCACTTTGATCAACGAGATCGATGTCCGTCCGGAGACCCGGCGGGAAGCACGACCTTCACCGGCGTGCCGAGATCAACCGGTCGGCTTTTTGGGGAATACCAATCCACAAGCACCTGCAAAACACGCCAGAGTGCAACACCTATGGCCTATAGCATCCTATAGCATCCTATTGTATATAGCCATATATATATAATACAACTATCAAATGCAAGTGTAACAAAGCTTTTCAACCATTGTTCACCGTGAACTCACGAGAATAGTGACGGCAAAATACTGTTTGATTCTGTAGCATTCACGGAGAACTGCATGCAGAGATACTGACAGGGATCGTTTTCAGAGCTGGCTTGGTCAGGTATTAGAGAATCGAGTCAGGTTTTCTGAGGAGGAACGCTGTAGATCAGTGTTCGTCTCTTCTCACATGGTCTCAGTGAGCTCCGACCCTCCCTGACCCGGACGGCTCGACCACTGAGGTGCGGCCACGGGGCACGGCGGCCTGCAGCAGCTGGTGGACCTGCCGAGCCACTTGGGAAGGGCCGAAGGGCACCGAAGGAACGAAAAGGAGCTGGAAGCTTCCTGAGAGAATGCCTAGAAGTGGAGACTCTCCATAGGAGTATCATTGGGGGGGGGGTGGAACTGCTAATTACATAACCTGGCATATTGGATGCCACCAGTCAATTCTGATGAACAGCTGTGTGAGGCTTTCTGCGGTATTACATCATGGAGGAACTGGCCAAAGATGTGGATGGCTATGCCTTTTCGAACTACGCCGCTGGGCGCAGCGCCTCAATCCGCCCCCGGCATCGGATCGGCCCAAAATCGTTGTGGGTCAAAGTTCATGAAGCCGCCTGACGCATTTCTTTAGCGGCTGGTTTGAAGGGGGAGGTCAGCCGTCAGCCTGAGGTTTTTCCATGCCACGGTTCTTAATGGTTGATGTTCATGCAGTTCCGTTCTTGTGCCGAACCCTGAGGTATGCATCCCAAGCTACAATATGTTAGAATACTTGGGATATATATATATATATTTTCGCTTCACCTCTTGGCAAGCGCTTCACTTTGACCACTGACTGAGGTGAAGATCAAGAATGGGATGCTGTACCATGCAGCGCCCTGGGACTTTGACTCTTGATCAGCATTTTTCGAAACGGGTCTCCTTTCCGGGGCAGATGCTTTGCCGCCGATTCTTTCAAGATGGGCCCAAAAGGGAGGAGAGTCGTGGTTCAGTGTGGGGAGCACTGCAAGATCCAACTCCGGTCGAGAAAGTCAACTAAAGTGGGTTTGCGCTCCCCAACGCACCCAACGCACGCCCCCTCTCACAAGGTGCAAAGGTTAAACCGACTTCAGCGACAGAAAACGAGGACTTGGCCTTTGACTTTGCCTGTATGCCAAGATATTTTACCAATAACCTGACTGGAGAGGTCCATTTGGGAGCGAGACTCGGCTGAGAAGGGACCCGATTTGACCCATTTGTTCGTTGAGAGAAGAGTGCACCAACTGAGAAGATGACCAGGTGTGACTAGCTCTTGCGCGATAGGCGATAGGCAGTTTTTTGGGGCAAGCTCTGACCAGATGAAGCCGGAAGTGGATGCCGGATGCCTTGACTGAGGCGCTCAAGCCTTGGCAGCCATGAAGCCACTAAGCCAATCTGTTGGCTGTCTTCATCTCTCACGACATAAAATCAGCATTAACCGGCCTGTGTGTTTCACGTTTTTTTTGGAGTGCGTCTCACTTTGACACGAAGATATGGACGAGGCAGGGTTCAGATGATCTGAGTGGAGACAGACCCTGACCAAGGATTGGATGGAATGTGGAGAATTCCAGATCTGATGCTCTTTGGATCGGCCCCTCAGGGATGCCTGGTGGGAGCGTGAAAGAGCCACCTGGTCGCAGCTTGTGGTCTCCAACTTGTCGACGCTTGGTCGACGTGCATGTTTCAGTAGGTATGGAGATTTTGCTAGCTGTCAATGGCATCTAGCAAAGACATTACCCGTGTGATTTTATCCATTCGTTCGTTCGAGTCTTGTACAGCTGCCAGGGTATCACATGTACTGCGACTTGGGCTCAAACCCAGGGCCCTTGAGCTAGTGGAGACGAAAACAAACGGATGGTGTCGCGATTCGGTAGCGGAGCCGGTGCTGGAAAGTGTTTCCCAGCCCGGACTCTCACAGCGGCTCTCAGATCCAGGACTTGGTCGTTTGGCAGCATAGCTAACCAGAGTTGAGTTGGAGCTTGGTTGATTGTGCTTGACTGGAACCATGCATTTAGCCGGACTGCATTTCAGATCCTCCCACAAGGAGGGCTACTGGAGACTAAGATTGGTTCCTACATTGATGCAGGGGAGCCGGCCGGATTCCACGAATGGGAACGACACGGACGACCAGCTCGGTGCCCGCAGCTGGAGAACAGGATGCCTTTGCCTCACCAAAGACCTTTTGCGTTGGACGTGGCGGAGGTGATATCAGAAGTTGAGGGCTTGCAAGCTGAGTTGGCGCAGAAGGTGCTTGAAGGCTTGAGAGATGATGCATACTTGGCAGCTCAGGACTTGGTAGTTGCCGTGTTCTTGCAGGAAGATGAAATTGAAAGGGCCTTGAGCTAGTGGAGAAGAAGCCAAACGGATCGCGTCAAGATTCAACCTGCTTTGCAAGGTACTGCAAGGTTGTATATAGAAGTGGCAAGCTTCCCCCCCCAGCTGCTCCGTTGCTCTACAGGTTTCCACAACAGTCTACCGGGGTTGTTTCATGAGATGGTCAACCAAGCGATCTAGGAAGCTAGCCAACAGGGATCGCTCATGAGTCCGTTCCTTGGAGGTTTGGAATGAACAAACGGCAGCTCTTCCTGAACATCTGGAGATATCCCGGATTCCAGGCCGAAAGTGATGGGAGAAGTTTCGGAGGTGCTGGAAAGACCAGCTGTTCACCTTCCCATCGTTTTTGGTAAGTATTTTGTGAGGAAATCCGGCGCTTCTATGAGCTGGCACGGCGCCGAAGAGGTGTTTCTCCAAAATGCCTTCCATTGTTGTTTGATGCAACGCACCTGGCTGTTTTGGATTGTTTTTCCTTGTTGTGATTGTTCATATGTTTTTTCCATGTTTATAAATTAGATGAACATAGTGATGAACATCATGGCTGTGTTTGGTGGATCCACCAAAAAATGCAACTCACAGAAGGCGCCCTTTGAAAGTAATCACGAACCCTTGAAACCGTGTATTTAGTGTACCAGCCCGAACTACTTGTGGATCTCGGTCGAATTGTTTGGTGCTATCCTGGTCGTACGCGACAACCATACGACGGGAGTCGGATTCTTTGCATGTAGTGGTTGGGGACTCGGACATTTCTTGGGCGCTGGAAGAGAGACCAATTTGTAAGTGCCCTAATTGCGTAAATTGGACACAGAAAGTGACCCAGGACATGTTTTCGACGACAAGAACCATGGGGGAACTGGATGGAACTCGGTTCCCCTTGGTGCATCGAATGGGAAAAAACCACATGGGCATCGAATGGGAGTCTTTGCTCCCATGTGGGATTCGCTCAGTGGACCCGATCCACTGGATCCACCGGATCCACAGGCCGCTTTTGCTGGAGCCTGGCGCGCGGCGCGCGCGCGCACCTTGGGGGATCATGCACTGCGATCCATGGTGGCTTGGAGCCTGGGGAGTCTGGGGAGTCTGGGGGATGGGTGTTTAAACATGTGTTTAAAGGGCCTTGTTCCGCTGGTCAAGCAGCGATGGTTGGTATTTCAACTGCAAGCCCACAGACCGTCACAGGCCCCGTGAATGAACTGGAAGGACCAATCCAGGAAAACCGACGAGTTCACGCCGTTTCTCCACACCCAGGTCGAAAGCCGCAGCGCTGTCATTGGCCCTTCTGCACGCCGGGACCTGCACTTGTGGCGAAGAAGCTTGACGGTGGACCACATGGCTTTTCATTGCCTTTTCATGTGTTCTTATTGTTTTCTTCTTCAGTTCTTCAGCGCATTCATGTCAACAATGTGGGATGTCACTCCCGATGTCAGTCTGGCATCAATACGGTATTACTTTAATTGTCAAGCTGTTTCTTGGCGGATCTTCCCGCAAACTCGGAGCCGGTTTTCGGTCTACCAGACAGGTGGGGATCGCGAAGGTGATACTGATAGATGTGATCGTTTTGCTTTCTGGGAATGTGGGGGAGTTGCCGAACTCTGGATCGTAGGGACAGGCACCACTTTCTGCATCAGAAGCTGTTGAGCTTGTCCCACCAGACTTGTGGCAATTGACATCCTCGATGATGGGACATGCGGTTTTCCATGATTGGACATGAGTGGCCAAACGGTGGAGGCTCACTCAAAGTTTTTCCACGTTTTTCATATTCCACTCCTTGGTTAAATGTTTTTTACAAGTGGTATGTATGGCCAGTGGATCTTTATCAGTTTGTGGTATGCTTTGAGGAGTGGATAGAATGAAGCCGCCTGAGCTAGTGTTTCCTGCCCAAAGGGACGAACCGGAGATACCTCTAGACCTGAGCGTACACCTTGGAGCGTCAGGTTTTTGGATGGTCCAACGAACTCGACGACCAGAAAAAAACAAATCCAATTGATCTGACATGAAACAGAATCAAGCTTTGACTGAACACCCACTGACTTCCATTCGCAAAACGGTCCCCGGGTCGTTCCGCTTGGTGTTCCCGGTCGATCCTTCCAATCTCACCGCACCCATGGGCAGCTCTCGACCCTCGGAGCCGTCCGCCGCTGAGATACCAGCCGCTGCGGCTTTTGGCACTGCTGTGCTCCACAAGATACGCAAAGCTTTGAGGCCACGCGATCGGGCTGCGGTCTTCCGGAGTGCAGGGAGAAGAGTCACAAGCAAACAGATCCATTCCATGGAAATTCCATTACACCTTTGGGCGAAGCTGCGGATGCAACTTGTTTGTTTTTTTAGCTATCCGCTATCCTGTGGCTTTGAGAGGTGTGTAGCTTCGACCCACACCTAATCGCTCGAAAGTGACTCAACCTTGGAGGAAGCGCAACGACATTTGATCTCCTACTTGCTGGCTCGTGCAAAGCAGCTTGGAATAGAAACACAGGTTGTTGGCAAGGCGGCTGAAAAGTATGCCAGAGAGAATTCACCGAGGACAACCGGATCGGGGTTGGACATACTCTACGTACTTCATGAAATTACTGTAACTGTAATATTTTTTTGCAATCGCATTTGTTTGGTATTAGATTGAACGAGGGCCACCCTGTACCGAGTCAAATTGATGCAATTGAACACTGCTCTAAGGGACCAGTGCGATCTAAGAGGAGCACCGCTTCTGGTGTTTGATGGTTGACATGTGTGTCGCGGAGAGTATATAGTCAGTCCTTCGATCGGAGGATTTCGCTTGAGAGTGAAAGGTTGGTGTATTCATAGATTCCAAAAAGTAGCTTCATCTTGAAGTTGTTTTCACAGGCACATCTTGCCTGGTCGCGCCCTCGCGTGCCGCCCTGTAAGGTGGATGGATGAAAACGTGGCCTTCTTGAAGCATTAAGGATCCAAGGACCATTTGGTCGCATCTGGAATCTCCCTGTTGATGTTTTTTTTGCCCCTCAGTTGAGGGAAAAACGATCGCAGTTTGTGTTGTGATGGATTTGCCGCAAGTCGGGGCAAAGTTTGGTCATTCGGCTCCGCTGTGCAACCGAAGGGGCTGGTGAGGGGGTTGAGCTTCAGAGCCAGGAAGGCAAGAAGCCAGCAGAGTTAGCGAGATTGTTGAGAGGCTTGATCGGTGGTTCTTGTTTGGCCTCTGGTTACCTGCGGCTTTGTGAGCTATGGCTTATGCAGCTACACTGGGAAGATATAGGACATGGAGATATACTGGGAGTTTGCAGAATATATAGGTTTTTTTTTCAATCGTAACTCAAAGGGCAGTTTTGCCAGGAGCCAATGTTTGTTTCTAGCATGGCTGGGTGAAATGAGGATGGCTTCCTTCCTACCTTGACATTGGATATCTTCTTGGTATAAAAATGGGGAGACCTGCCAAAGACCACCTGGAAGAATGAACATAGATCAAGACCCAGTGATTGTCTCTCTCTCTCTATATATATATATATCCACTTGAAGTGCTTCCACTTCGGGATTCGAGACGCTGTTTGCCTTGTTTACTGAGCGTTGGATGGCTTTTCGTTCAGCCTGGGCACATGGTGTCAGGATCGAAGCTGAAGAGCTCCAAAGTTGAGCTCGGGATCCGCGGCGCTCCAAAGTGGAACACCGAAGGATTCGAATTCAACACATAAGCACACACTCATCGCCCCCCAAATAGAGACATGCCAAGAACATGAAAAGATCCACTGCTCAACCAGAGTTTTGTGGTGCTATTGTTGAGGGAAAGGGATTATGTTCCATAGTGCAGGTTCTAAGATTCTCAGCACCTGCCTTCTGCGCCAAGATCACAGCTGCGTGCTCGGTTGTCTGACAGCATGAAGAATGGTTTCGGTTTGACACGTGTCTTCTGTTCTTCTGTTGACGATCGAGCCATCACACCACGGGGGCAACAAGGAGGTTTGAAGAGAAGAGCGGAGACAGATGAGGGTACCATCAGCACCACTCCCCCCAAAATAGTGACCAAATCATTAGTGCGCGAGCTATCCTAGAAGCTTACTTCATTAAGTAGGGCTCCTACTTAATTAAGTAGGAGCGGGCAAAAAATACAAAGAACCTCAGTTGGAGTCCAATCGTTGAACTAAGTCTAGCTGGGAAAGATCCTTCGGTGCTTCGCTGAATCCGCGACGAAAGCGGTTCCTCCACAGACTGCCCCGTGCTGGTTGGTACAGCGGGTAGTTCTGAATCCTGGCTGATTGACAATCTCTTCCTGAAACACATGGACATCAGTTGCCGTTCGGCCGCACCCTTGTGCCACGGCACGGGCACCCTTGCCAGACAGAGCAGTGCTAAAAAGGGGCTTCCTTGGACTGTTGCAGTGAGCTGATGGGGTCGTGGTCTTTGGCTTGGAAAGACACTGGGTGTCGAAGTCCTCCATGATCGACCTCGGAACGAATGGGTGGTCGGGCACGCCCACGGTAGGCCGGAGCCCGACGACCACCGCGGGTGTCTGAGGTGGGCGCCATGCCCGGGAAGCTCATCCAGTGACCTGGACACTGAGCGAGCGAAACGGGCGAGTCGGACGCGGTGTAATGGCTCACCCGACCGGGGACCAATCAACTCGAGTGAAGGGGAAAGGATGCTCGACACCGGTGAAGATCGTTTGTTGAAGGATGTGGTGTAATGGCTTTAGACAGAAGCAAGAATTGGTGATCATGGGTGGTAAAGACCGTTCTTCGTGTCAGACCACTCACTTTCAGGTCTCAGGGTTGAGATTGACCCAGAGTGATGGGCAGTATTTTCAATCAAGATATATACCGCCCAAAGACACCCTGCTCAACACAAGTTGAATTAGATTCAGATCTTTGTGGGTTGGCCTGCGTCAAGCAATTCCGATCATGCCAGGATTTGGCATGACACTCCCGGTCATCCAGCGACATGTCGTTTCTCCGTGACTCCCCGCTGTTTGCGTGAGTCATGCTGCAAGTGACCCAGCGATTTCAAGAGCGTCAGGTATTCCATTGGTTGTAACTGACTTCACCGCGGCAAATCTTGCGTGGCCACAGTGAACATGCAGAACACACACAGCAACTGAAGAGTCTCTGGGCCGTCTCCTCCCTGTTTCCTCCTTCCATTTGGCCCATTCTCGCCCTCCCGTCCGTTCCGTTCCTGGACACTCGAACCGCGCGGGAAACTCCGGAGGTGCCTGAAGTCCACGGGATGCTCCAACCCGGTGGTGCTCATCGATGAGATCGACAAGCTCGGTCGGGGTTTCGAAGTATGACTGGGTGGACGGTGCGTTGAGACGTGGCAGGTGAAAAACGATGCAGGTCGAGGGTGTGTCTTGGGTTGAAGGACAGAACCGAGTATGGCCAGAAGGGTCTCGCGGATTCCATCGGCCTTCGAATCGCCACTGGATGTGTCTTCGGTTTAGGAACAACATCGCGTCTTCAACGGAACAACGAACGCGGTGGAGTTGGGAGTTTGAATCGCTTCACAGACCGGCAAGGTTGTTGAGTTTATAGGGGACGTGTGAGGTTGAGGAGAAGAATTCGGATGGATGGAACACACAGTTTTTGGATGTTTTTAGAGCCAGGAAGTCTTTGCCCAGTGTTTCACAATCGTCTCCCCACTGACTGATTGAACGGCTTTTTTGCTTGCGAGGTGAGAACACAAAGCATGCGCATGAATTCAAACCTCGTGCTCGCCGAGCTACAGGGGCACACCATTGAAGGATTTCCTTGTTGTAAAATGCCTCCTCCACTCAAGGGTATTGGATCACCACCTATTCTTGGTGACATGGCCACATGCGCGTGGCACAAAGGTAATCCATGAACCACATCGTTTGGACCACTGAAGAACTCGCTTTTGATCGATCACCAGTGCACACTTCATGAGGTCCGATATCACAAAAAGGAACAATAAATCATTGGTTTTCCACGGACCACCAAAATCAACCGCATCCTTAAGCCTTAAGCCGTTGCGAAGCCTCAGGCCGGGACATGCGTGGAGATCCCTCTTCTGCCAGGGCCTGGGACACGTCGAACTTCGATTAAGAGTGATCAGGACGTGCAAGACTTGCGCAGAAGCAAGAGAAATGGGTCACGGGAAATGGGTTTTTGGGTCCTTGGCGTCCTTGGTTCCCTTTGAGAATAAAAGAACAGAAAGAAAGAAAGGTCTTATCGTGGATATATACAACACGTTCTCACTTTGTCCTCAAACTGTGCTGTCCATATACCCCAGAGAAGAGACACTTTGGTTCCTCAAAACAACACATGCTATTGTTTCTGGGCCGGGTCACCACTTCTGACATGACATCTCCACTGACATCCACCAGTGTCCAGGAGCCACGCCAAGCAAAACAACCCTTCGGCAGAAAAAAGACTCCGACCAAGCGAGAAAGCCGAGCCGAGCTTCACGAAGTCTGAGGCGCTGCTGGAAGTTCTGGACCCCGAGCAAAATGGCAGCTTTCGGGATCACTACCTGGATGCCGCTTGACCAAACTGGGTGATGGGGTGATTCTGTGGTGAAGCTAGCATGTTTACAGTCGGTGAAGACAGTGAAGATGGAGGGAGTTCAGGGAGTCTCTATGTTGACTGATCAGTTGATTGTGTGAAAGAAGAACTTTGCACGCCATTCGGGATTGAGGGAGACGGGGTGAAGCAACAGCAGCATTGCATGAACCTGGGTCCTGGTGATATGGCCTGCGCCAGAGGCTGATATCACCTGGACCTAGTGTGCCTGAGAGCTTTGGGCTGGAATCAGTGTTTTCCCATGAACAGCTGGAAAAGGGAATATCTAAGCTCGGTGCAGGTCGACGGGGTCGACCCCTCCACCGGCGACCCATGGGTCGGTGTGGACCGACCCGGGTGAGCAACGGCCCTCGGCCCAGGTCCCAGTCGATTTGTCCAACATCCTCTTCCTGAGCACGGCGAACATGTTGGACACGATCCCCGGTCCGCTACTGGTCGGGACGCCCGGTCTGCTGGGGAGGGAGGGAGGGTGAAATTGCAAACATGGAGGGTACCTTTGAGGGGTAGCTACCCGGTACGACTGTGGGTCTATGGTCTATATTGGTCTATCGCCTTCAAAACCTTGGGGTCTTTCGGACCACAGGTGATTCAGAACGCCGCAGCGAAGACTTCGTGAGACTTGGACGCCTGCCCTCTTGGACGCTGCGCTGCGTGGTGGTTCTGAGTGCCGGTGGCCTCTCCCGTCCGACGCGCGGCTTCTTCGCTCCTAGACGCTCCGTGGCATGGAGCGTTTCCACTGCCCAGGACCGTATGGAAATCATCCGCCTCGCGGGCTACGTCTACGAAGAGAAGCTGGCCATTGCCAGCAAGTGCGCGACCTCTCTTTGCCGTGTGGAACGCGTGGGAGGATTGGTCGTTGGGGGAGGAGAACAGCGAAGAGTTGGTGAGTTGGTGTCAAGTAGGAAACAGACCCACTTTTTTTCCCGAGAATCGAAGGATGTGCTTTGCACCTCAAGGGTACGGGGACTTGGCTTGAAGATTGAAGGAACCCTGATAAGGAAGGGAAGGGCATTCGGTCACTAGTGATACCAAGTAGCCCCGCCTGGGGCCAAGACTCAACCTTGAGCCCATTCAGTTCCGGAAGTTGCGAACACGGGATGCGGACATACAAGGTAATGCAGCAAGTAATACCTGGTCTCAAGGTATGAGTACAGTATAGAGATTAGACGTGAGACCTACCATAGATGGAAGAGATAATCACACCGCAAGATGGCCCTGCTTTCTGAAGCCATAAAATGCTTGCGCGCAAAGAGTTCAGAAGAACAGAACGGCGGCTGAGACAAGACTGGCAGGGGAGCTGCGTGAGCGGTTCGGAAAGGTCTTTTTTCCATGAGGTGCCTGCTTCTTAATTTGTATTATAGATTTATAATAGATCTATTGTGGATCCTATAAGTTAGAAGGAGTTGGTTTTTGAATTTTGTCCATCTACTGTAGGGATTCCTGATGGGTATGGACGATAAAGATGTTCTGAAGGCCACGTACCGGCAGTGCTTCTTTCTCCCAAAAATCCAGACCCTGGATCAGCAGCCTTTCTGAAAGGCGCGACAGGCTCTGGTCATCCTCAATTCAGACCTTCAGGTGCAGCAGATGGTCAAAAGGGGCACAGGGATTAAACACATCTCCAATCAAAACAATAATTGCCTCATCAGCTGGTCGTGTGGTCCTTTGGTCGCCCGGTCTCCTGGTCATTTGGTTCCCCTGGTCCTTTGGTGCCGTCCCTTGGTTTGCTAGTCCATGGTCCCTGGTGCTTTGGTGCCCTGGTCCCTCACTGATCTTGTAAAGATCATTCACCAGATGTTGCGTTCATTGTCCTCCCATGTCATATATTCCTTTAATGTGTCAACGTAGCTGATTAAAAGCACGGGCCTTCGTGGAACTAACCCAATATGAAGGCCTTCCCCATCATGGCCACACACAACACTCCCAATCTTCTTCTAAGGATGCTGTGCCTGCCATGACGACGGGAACAATGCCATTCCAACGTAGCATGCCTTTCGTGGGCCAACTAGAGGAGGAAGGAGCCATTGGGTAAGGGTAACATTTAGATGAGAAAGGAGCCATTCCAACACAGCAAACCTTCTGTGGAGGAAAAGTTAAAGGAGGCAGTTGCCATTCCAATGTAACATTCCTTTTATGGGCCACGCCATTCCAATGCAGCACACCTTTTGTGAGCCGCCCGAGGCTGAATGTTGGAGGAGGAAGTTGCCTGTTTTGCTCCCACTGTCTTGTTTGGTTGTGCCAAGTTGCTTACGTTCCTTCTTTTGCCTTGTCTCCGGCTATCTTCGGTTCGGTATGTCGTGTCTGACTACGGCTGTCTCTAACTTTCTCAGTTGGCACCAGAGCCTAGCTAGACTGACCTGCGACGCGTGGAAAGAAGGGCGATGTTTTTCCGCGTTTTCTTTTTCCTGTTTGGGGTCTATGTTACGTTGAAATAGTTTCAGAAGCGCTCAGTCAGAACGACATCGTTTTGGGGTACCTGTGTATGTCAGACGTCCTCTTTCGAGCCTTCCTGCCGGCAAAGCACACAGAATGCCCAGACAATGATGAAAGGATTTGTTGTAGTGCAACCTTCTGTTCTAGTTTTGTGGAACTTGCCCCCCCAGACTGACCTGAGCACCGGAGGTACTTGATCCCCCAGACAGAGGACAGCTCGAAAAAGTCTGACTGCTACGAACTTGCCATTCTTACTGGCATGGTGTAATGCACACACATGGCATGCACACAGGCAGCCGCGCAGCCGCTCGTTAACCGAGACGGGTTTTCATTCTGACTATGACTCTTAGCCCATGTGAGCCCCATGTATGTCCATGTGCATGGGCCAGGCTATTGTACGTTGGATGTTTTTTGGGGAAAAAGTAGACTATATGTGTAAAGCAAGGACCTGCAATTGGATGCTGATCAAGCTCCCTGCAAGTCCCATACTTGGTCATGAGCCAAGTTGGTTCATTGGGGCTGGAAGTAGAGGAGCAGAGTGGCATCGGCACAGAGCGGCTGAACTTGCAGGCAGGTGGGACACAGCATGCGAGACACTGACTGGCGTGACACGACCAACATAAACTAGAGTCTAGAGTCTAAAGGTAGAGTTTTTTTTCAGGAACAACATGGAGTTAAGATCAGAAACGATGATCAACGAACCCAGGTTTCCCAAGTTTGCTCTTCTTTCATGTTGTTTTGCTGAACCAATGCCATCTCGCCATATCTTGATGGCACAGGAAGAGGCTCTCCAGAAGATGATCAAAGACTATGCTCGAGAGGTGCGAAGAGCACTGGCCGGCAGGAAAGACACGTGCCATGAGAACGGTTTTTCGGTAACGGCTTAGGTGCTGTAGGATAGTCAACCGTGAGGAGATCGATCAAATCTCCCAAGTTAGCCTGTTCTAAAGGAAAGAAGATCACAAGTGGCCACGGGAAAGCTGTGACCCGAAAGCTGTTGATCCGTATGAGCAGGAGTCTGAAAGTCTGGGAGTTTCAATGAGTTTCACAGCAATCAATCGAGCACAGAAGGCACATCCAGGTAACATCTACCACCACAACCACCGCCACCACCACAACCACCTATGAAGATTTACTTCAAAGTGTTAACTAAACAAAATCCCACCAAACTTTGAAACGACTCGCGGCTGCCCTTCCCCCACGCTGTGCGTGATGCGATTACTTTCACTGCCTTGAGCCAATTTGTGCGTATCATTTTTGCACTAGAGACCATGTTGACTTGGTACATTCTCGATTTGTGCGATCCATCTATTCAAAAAGCACGGTCAAGAACAGGCGTACCAGCCTGCAACCAACTTCAAACATACTGTACTCCAAGTTAACTCCATTGGAACACGTGTGCTTCGACATGCTGACAAGGATGGTTGAACAACGGAGGGATTCATGCTATCGAGTGGTGACGAATCGAACTTTCACGCACATTTCGATCCATGTTCGCAAGAACTATATCAGTTTGGAAATTCCCGTGAGCTAGTTACTGCATTACCCATCTAGAGCGCTGGAACCTGAAACCTAAAAAGGCCCTGCTCGCAACGGAAAGGTGAAAGAGTCAGCCTAAACAGGAATGTTTGCATCAGTCGAAGGGAACAATTCGAAGGGGTACACAGTCAGACGTCTCTGACCGACACCACTAGCTTCGTTGGCCAGCGTTGTGATGTCATGCGCTGGCCCCCTGCGAATCTGTACATGGTGTATGGTGTTAATTAGAGGTTATATAAAAGGAGTTTTACTTAGACGATGTGGTCATTCTCCTTTGGAACAGGAGGTGACACACACAGACACACACCCGCAACCATGCCTGCTGGCATCTTGCAGGGTATCTCAGCATAGCTCTATCTCGATCCCTCTTCAAGTTCACCTGAGTCATACACGATGGGAATTCGATGCGTATTCGGCTCAACATGCTAAGACAGGCATGTCAAGTGGAAGCGGCTTTCCAAGTACCTATATGTTTCAGCCTACTGTGTTCCTAACTCTCAAGCACTCTAGGGCCTCAAAGGAATGAACGCACCCACACACACTGCTTGGAAGACGTGACCACTCGGTCAAGGTCTACCAATCAACGAGTCCAGTGATCTGAGGCCACCGTGTGCCATAGAGGTCTGGATGCTGCAAGGTGTTCGTGCATTAAACACTATGAATTCGGTTGTTAAAATTCGACCTGGTCTGATCTGCGAACCATGTACTGAGCTGCACGGCCAGTGCATTGGGATAACAGCCAAGACCTTCCAAACTCTGGTGGTTCAACGCTTGATGCCTTTCAAATGAACACACCCGCTTGCACATGTGTACACTGCTAGCATCTCGAACAACTACACGGGGAAAAATCACATGTGTGCTTTCTTATCCCGGAGGGAGCTCGACTAGAGCCCCGACTCTGAGAGCGCTCCGGACATTGAGTGTTGCAGGGTTCCATGATTTCTTCGAATGTGGCGCTCATCAAGTCCGTGAACTCTTGACGAACGCCTGCTGGATTTCGTTTTGATACTTCTGGGGCGAAGTTTTTCGAACAGGGAAAACAAAACCTGTACATGGAGGGCTGCACCAACACATGAGATTCAAACTTGAGGATGATCAGCTTGAAGTGAGTCCAATCCATGAAACATCTTCACGAATGGTTTTGACGGCAAACTCTGTCACGGAAACCACCCCCTCTTCGTCTTCTTCAGCCGTGACTTGTGACACGTCACTTGCGCAAATCCTGCTTGAAGTGTCTTGACATGCAAAAATTCCCCTGTCCGAACCTGAGCCCATGTGACGCACGCATGTCAAAAGTCCCTGATTCTGCAAAGAAGCAAAACAGCTCTGGCTATCAGAGAACAACAGCAATGGGAAAGCTTCACGTTCACCTGTGCTTCCAACTTGATCAAACTTGAGGCTTGAGATGCTGGGGTCCGAACAACTTCTTCAATTCAGCTGGATTCGTGAACTCACGCACGAAGACCTAGGCGTTCTTGGGCGAGTTGAACACATGGCTATCACCTCAGACTCGCATGAGGAGAGTGTCACACAGCTCTGGACCTGAGTGGCCCTTTATGATCCTTTATGTAACTATCCTTCCAGATCACAGAACCGAAGCAGATTTGCGTTTCTCATAATCCAAACGTCCCCAGGAGGCATCCCTCACACCAATGAGGCCATCGTAATTTGGCAAGACTGATCCGCCAATCAGAAGCCGTTGGAAGAGGTCCACGAACATCTTGAAGAATCCTTTCCTCTGTGTCTCATGAAGGCGACCGTGATCTTCGCCTCACCTCGATCTGGTCGGGGGCTTTTTCGACCACCATGGCTCGTTGCACCCGATGCGTTTGGAGGAACGAACGCCTACTCAGCGGAGCCACGAAGCGAGCTGCGTGTCCGTTCCGGGGGGTGCCCTGAAGCGAACTGAACTTGGAACAAGAAGCACTTTCAAGAACTTCTCCAAAGGTTCGTGGTTGTAAAGCAACAAGTCATCCACATATGACATATACCATGACGATTGATGGACAGTGCGATTTCGACGTGACTCCTGCCATGATTGTGGGCTCACTGGGACATGAAACCAATTGGCATTCTCTCGAAGGATGTTATGATACCCCGCTGAAAACCAACATGGACCCTGAAAACCACTGGTTTGTCATGGTTTGTCAAGGAAAACAGTCTCTCAGGGTGCCATTCTCAGGGTCCATGTGAGCTTTCGGGAGTGTGATTCACTTCTTTGCCCGGTCTCCCGGTCTGCACAGGCGGGTGTCCGAAACCTCCGACAGCTGCTGGAGAAGGTGAGCCGCAAGGCCCAAGCGTCTGGCCGTGGAGCGTCGAGCGACGAATTCGTCCACATGGGGCGATCGACACGTCAAGGGTGATTCAAGGTGGGTGTGTTTTGGTCCATGACACTTGAACATGAAACCACAATATGTTTGGTGTGTGTTTTGCAGGTTTTGATTCATACATGAGGGTAGAAGGTCTGGATGAAAGTTGGTAGACTTTGAGGATCGATTCCTGAACTCGTCTGTTCCAAGCGCCAATCTTGGAGCTGAAGAGTAGCCTCAAACATGGCTGCCCAGCTGTTGCTGTCGGTGACTGTTGTGGTCTAATGGGATCTCAGAATCTACACACACTTGGATACATACGCATGTTGTAAGGATCTGCAACATCATGACTCGAGGTTTGTTGTCTTACCATACACTTTATCTTCCAAATCTCCTGTCGCATAGGACCTGACCAAGCGAACACATGAGGCATGGAAAGCCAAAGCGGTGCCATCAGGTCGCGCTCGACCTGGTCCGCAAGAAGAAGTCCGCACCCAATGTGGAGCAGGCAGTATTTGGATGATTTGGATGTTGGCTTCTGACCTAAAGGAATTCCCCCTTCAAAAAAGAAGGATTCTGCACATTATGGCCATGGACATGGGGGATAGAGCCGTAAATGATGCTCGTAAATGTCGATGGACATGGGGTCTGATGTCTCCTGCATGCAAACATCAGCACCCGGGACACAGGGCCCGGCTGTCAGGGCCCGGCTCTCATCAATCTGGAGAATCTCTCCACCTACATTGGACAGCCGCGCGGAACCCGGGACAACTCGACGTCGGAGTGAGAATCGTTCTCTCCCTTCTTAAAACCTTGGAATTGGCCTTCACAAGGGGTGAAACACCGGATGTTCTGGGGTGAAACACCTGATTCTTTTTCAATCCTTTCTATTGACATATTTCAGATGTGTTTTGGCAGTCTAGCTTTTTGACAATTGCTGATGTGATGGACGAATGGGCAAGAGTTTCAGACTTCCTAACCACCCCCCTTGACCAGCTTGAGCTGCAGGTGCTAACTCCAGTGCTTCTAACATGTTTTTCAGCTTCAGGTTGGTTGAGGGTGGAAGAACAATAAGCAAGTGACAAATAGCTTAGACATAAGCGCACAGGTGTTCTAGCTCAACCGGAGGGACAAGATGCCTCAAACCGGAATTGTTTGGCAAGACTTCCTATCCCAGCACTAGAATTTAGGGGTAAGGTCAAGGTGGCATGATTCATGGGTTTCCCACGAGTTAGGGAATAGGAAGGTGATCAACCTGATCAAAATATTTTTCTCAAGTAGTTTGCAGATCTTTGCAGCAGAGTGCTTTTTTGAGTGCTTTTTCTTGCATTCTCCTCTACTCGACATCAAAACATTTGGCTCATTGGTGCAGGCAGATAAAATGCCTTGGGTTGTCTTTGGTTCTAGCCGGCAGGGGAAAGAGATTCGAATCAATGGAGGCTCTTGGAACAGACTACAGACGATAGCCAGCACCCAATCCCACGGCCACGGGGGGCAAGTTTCCGAGTTTCCAAGTTTTCATGCTGGACAAATGAAAACCAACAATCCATGCAAATCAGGGACATTTGACGCAAGACCAGCGCTTATCCGACCGGTTACTGACCGGCCATGGCATGTGCTTCTGGTCGTGTGCGGGGCCTTAGAGACAAAGACGGTCGCAAGTTCTTAGTCATGTACAAATCCTTAGGTGGCTTCCACTTTTCCATGCCTAGAATACGAGAATATGCATATATGCGTTAAACACTTCAGCGACTTCTGATTTCGAGTAGCACCTCTTCAGACAGGGCCTTCCCCACCGAAACAGGTCAGATGGTGGAGCAGACACAAAGCATCAAAAACCTTCTGAGAACACACGGCCTCTGGCTCATAGAGTTGCAGACATGCAGCCATCCACTTCGACCCTTCGCAACCGGCGCTTTCGGCCGCTCTTTGTTTCAGGGCTTTTTCCTTGCTTAGCTGCTTCTGGATTCATGGTCGTGTTGCAACTTCTGTTTACTTTCCGTGCTGCTTTTTGCTGCTTTTTTACACATATATATATGTACACATGTATATTATGTATATAGTTCTTCTTGCCCCACATTTACCCTAGGCCCTTGGCGTTCCTTTGACTGTGGTACTATTCTCTTTTGTAACCTTCTTTTCTGTTTAATTCCTGCGTCCTTTCTTCTGCACTGCCCCAATGGCTTCCTGGTAACAGCGGTCTCAGTTTTCATCTGGAAGTCTCTCCAAAGTTTTAAAGCCAATCAATTCTCTCAGGATCCAAGCTGCGCTTGTTTGTAGTTTATTGACACCTCTGCCTTTGCAACTCTGTGCAAAATTGAACCACCATTGCACCACCCAGCGATCTGCTGCAATGCCCAAGGGCAAGCCCCTAAGAACTAAGAACCACCACTAAGGTCATTGGCATCGTGGTGCTCTTCTTGGTGGATGTGGCATTTGTCGTCTCCCGAACACTCTGGCAGCCTCAGTCTTCGAGCCGCTGGATGAGATTAGGGGTTTTCTCAAGCCGCCGGGAGTGGATGCCCCGCGGGTTGGAGTGGTGTTTGGGGGTTGGAAAGGTGAAGGTAGGGGCGGTAGGGGTAGTAAAAGCTCTTGGTGAATGGACGGGAACCCGCCGACGACTACGTGAGACGATATGAGACGGTCAGGTGCTGAAGTGGATCAGAACACTTGGCGGTTCCACACTCACACAAGGCACTGTCAAGGTTTCCTATACCAATGTTTTGGGTTATATACTGTAGTTGGGGATACACATTGGAATCACCAAAAGCAATCCATTCCCGAAAGCACCTGCAAAGGGTTCTCCGAAAAGACTGGCTGCTGCCAACTTGAACTGTCTATATAACCAGCCTCATCATGATCATCATCATCATCATCATCATCAAGGTGTAGAGATGCAGGTGAGATAAAGGTATGTAGCGACCGGTGTTTGGATGCAAGTGTGGAGATACAGGTGTAGATATACAGGTGTTGAGATGCAGGTGTAGAGATACAGGTGAAGACAGCTACAAAACTCACCCACACAACTACAACTTCGGTGTCTTTCGATTCTTCTGTTTAGGTGGCGGGCTGTCTGGCCGATGCTCACGGAATGTGACCTTTTGTGGAGATCGCGCGTGTTGGATGCACGAAACTGTGGCAATGTACGAATCGGCTTGTTTCTGGGACGCCCCTCTTCTTAGTGAACCCTTTGCGGAGGTGGTGTGTGTCGAGTGCTCAAACATGAGGTGACGTGCGGATTTCCGCTCGCGCCGGTGAACCTTCTGCAGAGATTGGGCGTGTCTAGTGCTCAAATGTGAGGCGAAGCGCGAATTCTTGGTGACGTCGGTGAACCCTTTTCGGAGATCGCTCGTGTCGTGTTGCCAAAGTGTGCAACTGTCACCGAAGTTGAAGGTGGATGTATGTGGATGTTGGCAAAGTGTGCAACTGTTTGCCGAAAAGCTTGGTGGAAGTGGCCAAGGTGTGTAAAGTTATCGTCGAAAATTGTTGTGGCTGTGGCCAAAGTGTGCAACTGTCTCGGCAAAAATCATGCCAAACTGTGTTGCTGTCTTCGAAGAATCAAGGTGAAAGTTGCCACAATGTGTTGTAGGTGAAGTGGTGTCGAAATTGAAGATGAAAGTTGCATGTCTAACGGTCGTCGAAAATCGTGGTGGGCGTTGCCAAAGTGTAAAGCCGCTGTCAAGAAATCAAGATCAAAGTTGCCAAAAGTCAGATGGAACATTGAAAATCAAGGTGGAGGTCCAAAGTGTTGAACAGTCGCCGACTCTGGCCTCAGAACTGGCAATTTTGTAATGCGCGAATGTAGTGCGGGCAGCGCTGTTGCCTCAGAACTGGCAACTGGTTTGTGCAAATGTAATACGGGGAGTAGCTTCTGGGAGGTCGCGGTGACAACTGGCAAACTTGTAGTGCCAGAAGTGTCTTCCTTTGGGCTGCATCTAGCGTGTGGCAAACCGTGTGGCGAAAATACGTATTTGGTGTAACTGTGCCATTTGGTTTTGCCCAACCTCGGTGGAAAGTGTGATTGCGTGGCCCCGTGCCATTGGGAATATGCGAGTGTGTATTCGTGGCGTGTCGCTGGTGAGCGGGATGAGTGTTGGTGTCAATCGAACTTGGTGTCACATGGTTGCATCTAGTCACAGTCTGTGGCACATGCTGCGGCGAGATTCCGTCCGTGATGTCAGTGTGCCATGTGGTTTGGCGCGGCCTTGGTGGAAAGTGTGCTCTTGGGCCACACTGTCGTTTACTGTAGTATTTGTTACTCAGCGCCCCACATAGACAAGAACAGCCGATGCCAGTCCTTTTCCAGCAGTATATCCACTTCGGTTCCCTCACGTCAGGCGATGCCATCGTTGACTTGGGCCTTTTAGTGGGACGCCTGCTAGGTTCTTTGATCCTCGCTCTTGCAACTTGGCTCCTGAAGTCAAACATGTCAAGGGGCAAGGGCGGCTTTTGGTTTCAACATAGCTTGTCCGAAGGTGGCCACAGTAGTGATGATGGTTCTGAGGAGAGTGACATGTCAACAATAGAATTCACGCCTCACAATACTAAGGGTCCGACACCAAGAAAGGGCTGGGGGCCCCCATGTACTGGGGGTTTCCACACCAAAATGTTTTGGATATCCTGGATTCGGTCCAACATCAGTGCAGTCGAATTGAGGTCGCTTTGCGCCTGGTTTTGGGTCAATGGCCCTGGCAAAACCAGTCTGACATCAGAGAGGTGACCCGAGATCTCACGCGGCAGCTCTCAGGTGGGGTCGATTTGAGTCTATGACATCGAAACTGGACTCTCCAGACTCTCCAGGTGTTAGTGGGTGGGACACATTTGCTTTCATGGGTAGGTCTTGAGCGGTCGCAGCAGAAACAGTCGTTTTAGCAGAAGTATTTTCGGAGAAAATCACATTTTCGGAGACACACTACTTTTCGACCTTGGTGTCAGAAGATAGCAAAAGTGTTTCTTCCTGGATGTGAAGATTTGGTTGAAGCATTCCAATGGGTGTACTGACGCTGATTGGACCGCTCGCCGCTAGCGTTGGAACCGTGATCTGCCAGTAATCCCCGGGTGACCAAGTGCTGGTATGTGATCCACATGGGATGACCCAAAAGCAATCAGGCGGTATAAGATGGTATATGGAATTCTCCCTTCTGGGCAGGGGGGTTCTATCTTGAGACTTCGCGAGATACCCAGGTCTAAATGCAGTAGCCTGGGGTATCCAGTGTCGTGAGACCTGGAGCTTCCACCTTTCGGGTCCATGAGTGGCTCCTCGTGGCACGAGCTGCTGGCTTTTGGGTCTCCCACAAACGCCTCAGTTCAAGGGAAGGGTCACCAAATTTTACACCGCCAATGTGGCACCGAAAATCGTGCCTGTTGCGCCAGTTGGTTTCGTGGTTTCGGCACGAAAAGAGGGAACCTTCAGACGCCAGGCGGCATGCCCATGGCTTGCACCATGCCCACAGGTGACCGTCGAGAGACTCCTTTATTGGAGCGTGGCACCAACGCTTCCCGGGACGCACCGGCGGCGACGGCCAGCATGACGAGCGCCACTCGGAAAGGGTGAGACGCAAGGGGTCACTGGGGGTTTACTTGGCCCAGAATTTGAGGAGGTACTTGGGCACACCTTTAAATACTTTAGAATGCAAGTTGCTTGAGATTGTAAGTGGCAGCTGCGTGAGGGAGTCTTTCCTGAAAACTTGCGATGGTCAGAGTGTGGTCACAGCTTTCAATTTAGATCTTCTGGACCTGGTGAAAGGAGGCGAAATGTGCCACACCCAAACCAATTGATTGGTTCATTTTGACGATCTTCGTTTCCGACCCGCCAGTTTATTCAGAGCTTTCCCCGGACCCTTTTTGCTCACTCCACTGCACAGAATATGAAACAAAGTAACAGCCACAGGCAAATAAATAGTCACGCTGGGGCACTGCGATCCTCAGTTGCGCACCTATGCCTGTAGGAGTTTTCTGTCGTGCCCCTGCAAGGCAGGTAGCAAAATCGGTTGCAGGGAATGGTCACCTCCGGTTGGAGAAAACGATTGTGGGCCTTCCAGAACCCGCAGCATTTTGGAGCAAAGGATCTCGACAAATCTGGGTGAACTATGTGGTAGAAGTACCTTTTGAGAGTCAATCGCCAAGGATACTGTCGCTCAGCTGAATGCAGACGCCTCCAGCCGCCAGCAACAGCTTCGAAAGCTCGAGCAAGGAGAGAGCCATGGAGGGGGTGTCCGTGATGGCCTTTTTTTTTTGCTGCTGTACAATTACTTGAGTCATCCTCCAGCCTCCCGAAGTGTCAATTGTGGGCTGCTTTCAAAGCACAAGATGGACTGCTTGCAAGTCATTGCGAAGGACTGCTTGCAAGTCACGCTAAGGAGTAGAAGATAGTAGAAGGATGCTGGCTGGACAATCCACGTGACATACCCCGGTAATGCCTTTTCAGGAGACTTTCCTGCCAACTAAATGTTCCAGCATCTCTGAGTGGAACAAAGCGGTCATGTACGCATGTATGCATGTACGGAGTTCCCCTTTTGGATCTCAGGAGAATACTGGTCAAAGTTCCTTCTAGGGGCTCCTGAGGCATCGCTACGAACGGAGCGATCGGACGCTACTAGGGCTAGGGGCGACCCTGGCAACTGACAGGAGAATACTGGTCAAAGTTCCTTCTCTTCGTGCTTTATGTTTATATCGCTGCATGCTCCTTGCGCGTCGCCATCAAGGCACCGACCGAGGACCGGACAGAGACCAGGTCGAACAGACGGTACGGCGGTGAGACGTATGGATGTCAACATGGCACATGGCTGACCGATGGACCAGATCTTTCTCACCAGCGAACCAAAGAACCAATCATGTAAACCGACTGCTTGGTGGTTTTTTCTTGTGAACATCGCTTTGAGTAGTTCACTCAACAGCCTGTGGGCCAAACAACGGAAAAACGCCGCAAGAACGACGGTGCCGGCGTTCCAACGGCGCCGCCGCCGTTGCGGGGCGCACCACGGGGCGCGCGGACGGAGGTGGTGAGCTTGGACGCTTCGGAGGCGTGGGGCGTCTTCTGGGTGATCCTGGAGGCCGGCTCCGCTCGCTCAGCCCGCGGTCCCGAAACGGTCCCGAAACGGTCCCGAAACGGTCCCGAAACGGTCTGAGGGTCTGAGCGAGGGCGCTCGTGCGGTCTCAGCGAGCGAAACAGCGGGCGAAAGGGTACGACGCGGCGAGGTGTGTTGGGCTGTTGTGACCTACAGGTTGGGCTATGCAATTGTCTGCTACTACTCACCTACTGCAAGATTTGGGGATTCATTCTTGGTCAAACCCAGGATCGTGTTTATGATAAAGGAGAAGTGTGTGAAAACCTCTCCTTTTCACCCAGATCTGCTCTAAGCGCCTCATGGCCTCTAGCCATCGGTCCGCAGATCCTTGGTCTCTCCCGCCCTTTTCCAGATCCTTCAACTTCCAGTGATGCAGCTCGAGTACGTCCTCATCCAAGGCAGGGTGGGATTTCTCCCGTCACAGCATCCCCCTCGTCGTTCTGCCGACGCTTCTTCGACCGCAACTTGAGACCCTCTGGGCGAGCCTCTGGCCGTTTGGCACCGCAGTCGAAATGGAGGAAACTGGCCGGGCCAAGTCGAAATCTTGGAATCGGCTACTACAGTATACATCAGTATACTATAAATATATTATGTAAATGAGCACGAACGAAAGCTTCAGCGACGCTGTCGACGGTTACCTCCACATTCCCGAGCAGTGTCCAATGTCATCCAATGTCAATCGACCACTGTTGGATGGGCTCAAACTTTCTTTTGTCTAACCGCCCTCTCCCTTTTTTCCAAGTCAAACATAAGTTGATATGCGACGGGGCAGCATCCATCGACGGGTTCTGCTGACGGGTTCCATCGACGGGTTCTGCTGACGGGTTTGAACAATGCGTCCATAAAGCACGGCACTGGTGGTGGATATCGTTGGCGGCATTTGCACAATGTATGATGACCCACACACACAATCACGACAATATCTATAATGTTATAGGGCTTACACAACATGCCTCACAAGAGATTGATCTTTTTCGCATTGAATCACATTTGATCGCATGTGTCGCTCTATCATGGACCATGACCGTTCCATGACTGTTCGCCGTTGCCTCTTTGTACAAATGTGGACCGGTCTTCTTGGCCCAAAGAAATTCGTGGAGATGGCGACTCAGAATGGGACATATTTCGTGTGGTTCCACCAAATAGACGAACTCTATTTTTTGCCCCGTGACAGAATCCATGGATATCCAGATTGATATCCATCCATCAGGGTTTCCCATGGAATGTGGGATCGTTCGTGCAGAATTCCTTTGGATCAAGGCCTAGTCTACGAGAAGAGCTCTGGAGAGGGCGTCCTGCTGCCAGGCCATCGATGGAATTGGTGAGAAGGTTTCCTCTTAGAGGAAAATGCACCAACCCCTGCGGTTCCAAAGTCTTTAATGCAAATGTTTGATCCACCAGATTCACAGATAGTTCAGTTTCATCTTGACGGAAGAAAGAGCTGAGCACCTGTTCGGGTAGTGGAAGATTCCAGTTCGCCTACCATGGCCATGCCCATCCATTCCGAATAATTCAGAAGTCTCAGCTGAAATCAGAAGTTGATCCAAACTGCATCGGTCGCAGAGTATCATGTTGATCGACACTCCGAACGGTCGATTCATGGGGTCGTTCCTGGCCGCGGGGCTGCGGCAGGAACAACATGATTCACAGAGAAGCTGAGATGTAGTGATGTATCTAATACACAGGTACTTGTACTGTACAAATATGCAATAATTTTACCTATTATATACTGTATATATATAACATGTAACGTTTGGAGGAAGTTCAAGAACGCATTCGGGCGAGGTATGCACGAGCACATGCTCTTTTGGAAAGATGCTGAGAACAAAGGTGCAGTCTCGACCGCTGGGATGCAGGGAGATGGGATTTTGAGAGCACCCCTCCGTTTTGGTCCAAGTTTGTTTGACATGAAGACATGAAGGCTGCTTTTCCAGAGATTTGTTTCTCTGGGCCTATCACATACATCAGCTTTAAGATGTGTTGTCCTATTTGTTATATTACCACAAGATTGGCACATACTTCTAGCATGTTTTAAACATAATTGTCGTTTTTTAAATAAGTTCCTTCGCACTGTACGACGAGCGCCAATGTATTGTGTCAGTTCTTGCCGTTGAATTTCAGGTTTCAGTTCAGGTTTCAGTAAACTCTGCCTTAGTTTCAGTAAATGATGCCAGGATTTGTTGCTCTGAACAACCTTGAACGCCAGCATTTCACTTGCCAAAGTCGGGAGCTGCATGAATGGTCTGAGGAGCGAAGAGACGAACATGTGGACCACTAGGACCGCTAGGAAGTAGATGGAAGTAGGCATTGAGCCGGACTCCATGCAGCCTGAGGGTGAAATGTCCGGCGAAAAAGAAGCGCCAGGCAGCTACAAGATGAAGAACCGCACCAGAGAAACCATGACCCATCCCAATTGGGCTGCACAGACTTGGTTCCGAGACGACACAAAGTCTTCGTCCTGTGCCTTTCACTCACAGGCTTTCTCAGATGCTCTCAGTGCAATGAGAAGGTGGGCGAGCTCACGGGCGGCTTCTTGGTGCTGCCGCTCGCGATTGAACGATCCGCGACTGACCGAAGGACGATGGGTCGACCGAGAGAGGCCGGCCTTCGCCAGTTCCGACGGACACCGCATCACCTGACCCCGTTGGGCGGGAGCGAAACAGAACGCATCACGACATGAAGCTCCCCCGGGCAAACACTTGCGACAATGCACGGCCTCTTTGGGGAACTGGAGGGGAAGCAAATATGAGGGTCTTTTCACTTCGCATCACGACCAAGGAAGGAGGTCCTGGAAGGAGACTGCAGTTTCATCCTGGAATCTCCTGCTTTTTTTCATTTCAATACATGTTGTCCTGTTTGCAACTGGGTTTCCACATGTTTCGCATGTTTTTTCCTCTGGCTGATTGATTTACAGCCCTCGGAAGAGACTCATGGCACTTCAGTGACCACCCTGCAACACACCCTTTCTTTTGGTTCTGCCAACATCTTCCAACGCCTGGATGGCTCGCCTTGGGGGTGGAGAGACGCAGGAATCAACAGCTTACTTATATACCTCTGGCCACGCGGAACTGCAGAGTGGCGGTTCCCACGGGCGGTTCGGGCAGTTCAGCGACCCGACCGAGGCAGTGCCGGCAATGCACTCCCAATCGCTGGGGCTTTGGCGGTCGCATGGTGAGCTGGGATGGGAGACATAGGTCGGACCATGGGCAGTGCCGTACGCCCAAACCGGCCCAAGTTAGGGAACGGCCCTAGGGCCGGTGTGGGTCGCACTAGGTGGACTCTGTCAGAGGGGGCATCGAAGCGAAACGTCGCCGTAGCCGCAGTAGTGCTCTGATTCATCTTCTACATTGTGGGATTGGTGAAGCATTTTGTTGTGCAAACGAATGCATATTTGTGGGTCATTTGATCTTTGGATTTTAAGAGTTTTCCAGGTGACTTGCTGAAGGAGACTTGTTGCCCTCTTTAGTCCAAAGCGGTGATTAGTCATGTTATGAGTCATGAGTATGTTTCGGACTTGCGGCTTGTTGTTGCATCAGAAGAGATGCTTGTCTTTTTTTCAGTGTATATCTGACAGGGTATGGCAGCCATACAATGAGGCTTTTGCACAGCAATCCTTAGGAGATCGAACACTTTAGGAGTATGTGTCTAAAGTCACCGATGGTGAATGCAGAAATGCTCGGAACATGAAGATCCAATATGATCCATGCTCGGAACATGAGGGGCTGCAGGTGTTGGGCTGATTCCCGTACCACCCATGCTGTTTGTGTGGGTTTCTCACCGGAACCTCCGTCCGACACAGGGGATTTCGCGCGTACGAAACTGGGCAAACACCGGTGAAGAGAGGTCAACCGGTGAAGCATGAACAAGTAAGGATTCTTTCATGCCTTGGCTCCATCATGAAGCTAAGATGCTCAGTTTCCCTTAAGATCATGAAGGAACCAATCATGAAGGCGAAGCAACTTCCTTGAAGAAGCCTGAGCTCTTCTGCAAGAGAAATCGAGAGTAACTACTTGTTAGCTAGTAATAGTAGCTACTCCCTACTCTTACCTACTGACCTCCTAAGGAACTCGAATCTTTTTGATAAGACGGACTGACCAGCCTATGGGCCTATGTAGAATGCTGTTCTTGAGCGTGCTTGCATAAGTAGTGCAATGTTGGGCGGAGAACAGCATAATTTGGCTGGTGCTGTGAGTTCTCGAGAAGAAGTTGTTAGATGGGGATACATTCATTCTGTTCTAGTTCAAAAGGCGCTGTGCTTTGAGGGTCTAGTAGCTGAGGTTTCAATGTGTGCACCAACTGCTACAGGACAGCAAGCTTGGCACATGTGTTGTGAGGATAAATACATGGCCCAAGGCCCTGGCCACGTTTGAGTTTAGACCACCAACAAGATTTGAACATGCATTTGGCCTGGCCTACAGTACCATCTTGAGCAAGTTGGTGAGGACTAGTTTCAGTCTCAACCACCTTTCATGGACGCGACCCTTCTGTACATCTCCATAATAGTGGATTGGAGATGGATTGAGAATATATGTTTGACCTTCCCGATGTAACATGGTTTCTCTTCGAGTGCTGGTCGTTGCTTTTGTTTGCGAGTTGGTAGTTCACTGCACAACCACAAGGGCCACAAACCGCATAGAAAGAAGCCCGTGGCCCCCGTGCGCGGATACTATTCTATAGGTATTGCACAAGTGCATTGTGTGCCATCCTGCGCTCTTGGCTCTGGGTTCGATTTGGAGTTCATCCATTGGAGACTAGACTAAGAGAGACCCTGCGCCAACTGCGCACGTGGCACCCTTGGCACCCTTGGCACCCTTGGCACCCTTGGCACCCTTGGCAC